ACACACAGAGAAAGAGAGACCTCTTCTGGCATGCTGTCGCCCTATCTCTGCAAAACTCACCGGACTAACGTTCGGGGACCATGAACTAGGTTTTTAGGCCGCCTCACCTTTTTTTCGTGTCTCACACAAGAGGCTCGGGGCGGGCCATTTCCAGCACACCACCACGAATTCCGTGTTTTTCTTTCTCTCTGATAGGTAAGCGGGGAATTTCTTCCGCTTGGGCTGAAAGACGCCGGCGCGCCGGAGGACAAAGAAGCCGTTGAGGGGGTGGGGCGCGGCCAACGGGGGACTACGGCGACAGAACATCATGTTGGGCTTGTCCGGCTCACTAGGTAGGTACTCAACTCCCAAGAAAGGGCGCCGCGTGGTTTCAGGCGGCTTGTGGGGTTATCTCTTGTCTTTTTTCTTTGAGGGTGTCGTGGTTGTGTGTGTGGGCGTATGTAAGCCCGTTCCTGGACGAGTTTGGCTAAGATGTATGTGTGTGTCGTTTGGTGATCGTCGAGGGGACCGGCGTGAGAGGACTATCCCGAGATGGTGTAGCAGGACCGGTGGGAGGCTGGTTACGTTACCGTGTTTTCTTGATCGGACGCGTTCTGCGCGACGAGGACGCGGCGAGGTTTTCGCGATTGTGAGCGATGTCGTCGTCCTCGTCGTCGTCGGGTCATCGGTTTTGTTGGAGGTAGCCGTGGCGTTGGGTTGGCGTGGTGTATTGCCACGGTGTTGGGCACAGACTCGATGAAGCCGTATCCCGTTTCTGAGGTTGATCGGATGTTGTGGGCTCTCACTCGCCTCGTATATTCAGTGTGAGTTCAGGTGGGCTGGGGGAATGGTCTGCATGCAGAGGTCAGGGGCTGTTGGGATCTCGAGATGTCGGGCTTGCTTGTGGTGGCTGTGTTGACCCTGAAGACAACCTGGGACGCTTTTTCTTTGGGGGTGAGAGGCCTTCGTTGATTGTAAGTCGTCGCCAGGTGCAATGCTTGATGGGGAACATGTAGACCCTAGTGGTTGTGATGGCTCTGATGACTATTGTCCCTGCGAATCGTCACCGTGTCCTTGATCTACAGGCTTTGAAGTGTTAGCGGCATGTCAGACCGATGTAAAGCGTTCTATGCGTGGGATTCCTTCTGTCTCGTGATGTGCCCGAATGTATGTCTGCCGTAATTGCCTCTTCTGGTTGGAAGGCTGGGGGGAAGAAAAAAAGGGTGATTCTTCTCTGATCATGTATGGTCGATGTGCCTACGTACGCCAGAGAATTCATTCTTTCATCATTGATACTAGCCTCTGGGCTTAGGTATCGAGAGAAGAATACCGGTTAGTTACCTTGTGTTGGTTGATGTTGCTGGCTTTTTCCCTCCCCCTCGATGTGCGAGTGGGAGTTTTTAGCCTATACGTCTCTTTACCTACTTGAGAGATGTTTTGCTGAATCATGATTTGCTGCTGGGTGTCGTTTTCCTGCTCGCCTCGTTACTTCTCTGTTGTGAAAGGTGATTTGACACGCCCTATTGGCGATGTGATGAGTTCAAGGGGTGAAGTAGGAATCATTTCCGTTGTAGAGGGACCTTCAAGGAGACAGCAACTCGGAACGTCTGTCCTTCATATGGTTGTTTACCGGGACGATTTTCTGAGGAAATGATGGCATCTTCGTCAATGCTATCATTCCCTTCCAATGTCCACATGCTTCCCTATGAAATTGAGCGTAGCCGAACTTTGGCATTCGAAATACTCAAGATTTACGAATCTACTCAAGCCGCAAATAGATGCCTAGTCCCATGGCGACCTTGTCGCAATCGAGGACCTCTGAACGCGAGTTCTCGCCGTACCTTGCTAGAGATAGTGATCTTGTTGCCAGTCTCCCTATTCTTGTTCGATGCGGTCAGGTCGATCGATAGGAGCGATAGGTGGATTGGAGCAGATATGCTTGAGTGACACCCCTACAAATCGGAGTTTGAGGCTTTAGGGGTCTAAACTTTGGATAAGTGGCCAAAGATACATTGACATGGTGTCGAAAGAGTCTACCATCGCAGTGAGGACGTCCGCGGCGGAGGTGTTTAAGTGGTCTTTCGTGATCAACAGGCGTGGCACCGAGGACATCGCTTTGCCCCTCATAAGAGCAAAATGATTCTTCGAGAGATCACTAGGGACATGTGTTTTTCATCTCAGACACCATCATCGGTGACGTTGGCTCTTTGAGCCCAACCGAGCCTTCACGCATAGACGGGTTTATAGCACCTTTGCACAAGCACCTGGCTGCCTTTGTAAGTTTAACATCTAGTTTAGTGATAGAAGATATGTCAAGCAGTATTCATGTCGGTAAATACTAAGAAACATACACGACATTTTGTTGCTAGTAGAGTTGATCTCGCCTCCTCAATCGTTGATGATACTGACGTCGAATCTTGCTGTAGGTCAGACCATAAATCGATTTGATCACACAAGAACCCTTTATGATATACGTTTAAGCCAGCCTGTATATCATTGTGTATAGTTTCTTTGTAAGTACGGCTCATCCCGCGAATACACGTAAAGAGACTGAGCATTATCGTGGTGGTATTGCGAAGCCCCTTTATTTGCGGTATGCTAGTTTGTGGATAGAACGCTTCCTAAAGTTACCGGTCATATGAATCTACCGGGATGCAATACTGGCTTAACAAAACATCGCGAAAATGTTTCCGCTGCCTTTGGTCAGCTATATATGATAACGAGGCAGAGAAATAGGAGACCTTTGTGGTGCACACTATTGGCAACCAATATGTGGAGAGCGTCAGTGTGTCAAGGCCGTAGTATATGTGATATGGCGCGGGAATTGCATGGTGTCTGGACTAACAAGCCGAGAAGGAAGAGGAAAATGACAGTGAACTGAGAGTCCTCGAGAGCAAGCGATAGAATCCCTCACCCTGACGACTTGGAGCAATTCAGACAAAAAGGAAACAGATACTTGGAAGGCCTCTGCCTTTTGACGATCATTCGGCTTGGCCACTCCGTAGCACATGGTCTGGAAGACGCACGATCGCCATCGCTCGCCATGTAGATTGATCGCTTGAAAGGGATTGTAGAAACCTGATTTTCTGCGAACACCATGAAGTGCTCCATTTGAGTCTGCCAGCCTCAACTTTGTGCACATATAAATGTCCTAGATTATCTTCGTGAACGTCTTTTCAGTGAGAACGAAAGACCACAGCACCTAGAGCCGCTCGAAGGTTACCCATCATGCCGAGATCCCACGGGTTGAATGATGCAAGCACATGCCCAAGGCTGTTTACGATCAACATAGTAGGCCAAATGTGCTCCAGAACCAAGTGTGCTTCCTTTGCCCCGAGATACTAATCAGTTATTTCTAAGTAGAGGTACAGAGGTATACCGAGAAGAATACTTTCGCGACGTAGGGGTGGGAGGAGGAAAAGGAGGAAGGAAGCTAGCTTCTGTTTGAAGTGAAGTATAGTGATCCTCATCTTTGTCGCTATACACACGCCGCCTCTACGATTCCTAGACGATCTCTCGGCCTTGAGACTCGCCATGGAGGTCTTCTCCCCACGCTGTGACCTTTCTATGGGACTGTTTAAGCTGGCAAAATTGGCGTTGTCATTGTATAGCAATTTACCGCGTTCCCGATGGTGTTGATGTTAAGTCTATATGGGCCTAGGCGAGTAAGACCGAGAGCAAGTAGCGTTTAGGACGCAGGAGTATGCAGAAAGCTCTTTGGATTCTGAAGAGCCATTGAATGGCATTTGCTTCTGGTGATTCTGTCCGGGAGGCTATGAGTTTCTTGACAAGCAGATGTCCCAGTCTTCAATACCCACATTTCAACCTCAACGAAGGGCTAACATCCCTGTATCGCTATCCCTCTCATGTCTATTGTTATTTGAATACTACGGCGGCGAGAACAATGAATGAGAGATGCTTCTCTCTGTATTGGAGTCACTTTGTGGGCTTCTTAAGACATCTGAAACCAGTCTTTAAGCTTGTCTTGTAGCGATCCTCGTAGCTGTGGGGGAACGGCAACGACGAGATTCGTGGCTGCTCCGGTCACCGCCAGCCCTGACGTCTGGAGATTCAATCGGCGAGAAGCAACGAAAAAGCGGCCTTTTATATGTTTGATTCACATGGATCTGAAGCCAGCTATTCATCCAAGTCACTGTCAGTTGCTGATGTAGACGAACAGAGTCTGGACTGCGTTTTGCTTATCTACCTTATACTATGCCAGATGTCGGCCCGGCATAGGAACTTGGATAAAATTTGGCAACATGGGAAATGCTTGTCATTCCTCGAGAAGAAGACCCTTGGCGAATCGAAGCGATGATTCTGTTCGTCAGTCTCTGATTTCCGCCTGACGTGGATTCTGCACACTAGTGATCACCAAGGGTACTCGAGAAGCATCTTGTGAGATTGTCTACTTCCAGCTAATGTCTATATTTCCTATGAGAGTAATCCTTTCTCCGGCAAAACAGTCGTTCAAAGATCACCTCAAATAATCATAAGTTAAATTAGCTGGGAAAGACTGCAGAAGTTCAAAGTCACACAGTAGCATTCCATCTCCGCTGTGGTAGGCTGGGTGACATCGTGCTAGCCCTAGTCCGCGAGCGAATGTACTGAAAGACTGGATGGCGCATTAAACACCACAAGGCCTGGCGATCATCAGAGTTACTTGAAACATAAGATAGACGTATGACTGAAGTGTGTTTCCTGCTGCAAAGGATAGAAGTGAGGTTGTCAGACGTCGACCGTGGGCCGAAGGTGGCCCGTATCCGTCCAGCCGCCCCGACAGCCGGTCCGATTGGCGACGGGTAGGACCAGGCCCCGTGCCATCGGCATCGGCGGGGTCAAGCGGCTCCCCCCAGAATTCTAGAGACGGCCTAGATCTTGGGATGGTCGGCGACCAACCAGTGAACGGTAACCGCCCTCCATCCCAAATTCCCCAATGGATAAAATCAGATAAAGCTCAAGAGGGGCCCGAGCTATGTCATGGGGTTCTTTTCTCACCATCTAATGTACACGTGAAGAAGACGGAAACTCGACTCGTCTCGTCTCATTTCTTTACAGCAGAGGACCTGCACTTGACAGCCTCATCTTGCTGAAACTTTATTCCTACGCTACTTTTTTCTCTACCACCTCACTACCTACACCATACTCCTCTCAACTACTTACCACCCTTCCAGTCCTCCACTGGCAAGGCATCCCAGGTCGGTCCCCATTACCGCATCCTCCGCCGCCGGCCGAGAAATTGCGCTAGCGAACGGCGGCATTGCATGAGGAAAACGGCACTAACGCACCTCCATCAGCCGCCCTGCGCGATCGCCCACCCAACCTTCTCCATACCTAAGCTCAACGGGGAGGAGAGCTTTCCCCAAGAGCCGAATTCTGGGCAAGAAACTTCTTAGTGCCATTTTTCGCCATTTTCGCCTTTCAAACCGTCTCTCCGCCTCTTGATCACGTCACCAGACCCTTGTTCTGGCGTGAGGGACGCCATCTTCAAACCGCGTTTTTGCCAGTGTGCCTCTCTATCTATTCGGTCTGAGGGCACTCGACGTCAACTGCCCATGTCTCGGACGTGATGGCCTCCGCCAAGGACGAAGCCGCATCGACGCCGGCAGCGGCACCGGCTACTGCTTTCCCTCCTGCACCTCCTCCACCGTCGTCCGATGCTCATCCACCGCAATCCCAGTCCTCTGCGACCGCCTCGCCGAGAGGGTTAAGTAGGCGCTCCTCCTCCTACGACGGACGCTCGCCAGCGTCCCCGCGCTCGCTCTCCCGGAGGCAGAGCACCAACGAGCGCATCAACGAGATATTAGAGGTACGTTCTTCTACCTGTAGCTCCTTTCGCTTCTGCATCCTACCCCATCGCCAACCGAGGATCTGGGACTGTGGAACCCTCTCTGCGGGTGTTTAAACGTGGTGTCGTCTACGAGCATGTACATTTCGCTCATCGCTTGGCACCGACCCTTCTGGCCGCCAATCCACGGCATTTCTCTCTGAACCCTATTTAATATTCTACGTTGACCTCGCTTCTCAGTTTCCTTTCTGCCCATCCCCATGTTCTGTTCTCCTTCCCAATTCCGGATCGTCTCTCCCCGTCTACCATCATACATACCTCCTCCTACTTACACCTTCTCCCTCTCTCCCAAAACAGAACGCACGAGGCCGCGCACAAGCCATGGGCGGCGGACTCTCAACAACCCGCTCCGCTCCCGCCAGCCCCCCGCGGCACTACTCCCGCGCGGACGGCTCCCGCGATGAGAACGTCGGCATCATCTCCCGCGGCCCGGACCGCAACTACCAGAGCATGAACTCGGCGCCGCAACCGTCCGGCGTCACCACCACGGCGACGGCTCCGGAGCTGGCCGGCATGCGGCCACGCAAGTCGGTCCAGTCGACGAGGAACTCCCTGCCGGCGCAGGCCGAGGAGGAAGAGGAGGACGAAGACTACGACGCCGTGGTTGCGCGGGAGGAACGGGAGAGAGAGGCGCAGAGGAAGGAACCCTGGTACACGATCCTGCTGTCCAGCTTTCAGAGCATTGAGCTGGAGAACAAGGGCAGCGTGGCCCGCGATCATCTGGCGCTCGGTACGTATTGCGCTCACACTTCGTCACGACACCTCAGCCCATCCGGGTCTGCTCCCCTCTCAAATCAGACGGTTCAGCCGCCTCTCCAACCCATCACGGTTCAACGCCTCTCTACGGCTGCCAATGGCCACAGCGTATCCCTTTATGAAGAAATCATCCTCCTCCCTCTCCCAGGCAAACGGGGGCCAACTCCCCCGGGCGCTTTAGCTCAGTGGAACACTCAGCTGGGGACTAGGGATTTCCACATGTCTTTCGAGACGGACCTCGACCCCTTGAGTTCGACTCCACGCTATGAGCTACTTTTTTTGCGATTTTTTGCATTTTTGGCAGTTTCACCTATGAAGAATCATGACAGCCGTATACAGCTCCAGCTACCCGGGACTAACTAACTCTTCTCACCAAAAATACAGAACGAACATTCCTCGCATGGCTCCGCACATCTCTAGCCTTCGCCTCCATAGGCATCGCCGTAACGCAGCTCTTCCGCCTCAACTCGTCCCTCTCGACGCCGGGGACCGACGACCCGAACAGCCACACCCTCCGCCAGCTGGGCAAGCCGCTCGGCGCGACGTTCCTGGGCATCAGCATCCTCATTTTGTTCTTGGGCTACCAGCGCTACTTCCGCGCCCAGCAGTGGGTGATGAAGGGCAAGTTCCCCGCGAGCCGCGGGACCATTATCATCGTGTCCATGGTGGCGTTTGCGCTGATGGCCGTGAGCTTGGTTGTTGTCGTCGTCGTGAGTCCTACGAGTAGGGAGCGGTGATTTATCCATCTTGTTTGACGTTTTGGTCTTTATACGGGGAGTTGATATGTTTGGTGTCCGAGTCTGGCTGCATGTGTTTGAAATGAGAGCGTTCTGCATCAAGGGGACACTTGGGATTTGAGTTGGTTGGAAGATGCGTTATCCGCATTGTGTCTATTTGCTTCTGATATAACGCGGCAATGAGCATATAATACCCTGATTTATCTACAATCGAGGATGGTGTAGCGCAACCAGCCATTTTCTATAGTGACGTGAGAAATCCGCCTTGAAAGCTAGGAGACAGAGTATACTTGAATGCGGTACTATAATGGCCGCGGAAATCGACATCATTGATATTTAAGCAAGTCCAATTTAATCCTTGCAAAATTGGGCGGCTCAGTGAGCACGCTCACTTGAAGACGAACTCGTCGTTTAAGTGACCCCTTCTCAACCGTCATCATGCATACTTGTATTATAAGTACCCTACCCTGCCGATCTCTGTCCGACCCGAAACCCACAAAGGGCAATTGCATCAGAAACACATCGCAAGACGCAGGTATCCGGCCCGTTCGGGTACCTCATCTCATCTCATCCCGTTACCTAAAAGCTGAGAGCAGAGGTGTCGAGAGCTTTCACCCCTCTAAAACCCCCAACCTATCAGATGACGTCAAAAAAGCTGAGCCAGCTGCACCTCACATTGTGGGGAACCCGCACAGAACCACTTACAACAGGCGCAGACAACGACACACACTCTTTCATCTCAACTGCAGCTCTCTCACCTCAACTTTCCCACAATCTCAGTATCACCACCCATTAACTTGCGCACACATGAGGTTATGAGAACTCATCTCGCCAACAAGATAATCTGATCCACAGTGATTCGCCAGGGGAGGAGAAATCACCAGAACCACGTCAATAAAGAGAACAGAAAACAAACCCCTCCCCAAGATACAAACCATGTCCCCCTCCACAGAACCCCTCTCCCCCCCCTCCTTCGCAACAACCCAACTCACCCTCCTCGAAGCCGAACTCGCCGCAGAAGTCTCGGAATCATCCGCCCTCGTCTCCTCGCACTCCCCCACGGCCCTCCAGCGCGCAGGCCTCGCCCTGCCCAACCTCGTCGTCACCGCCCGCCGCACGGGTCTAGGCGGCCGCACCGTCCTCGAGTTGTCCTCCGATCCCGCCGTTGCTTCGTCTTCCGGCGAACTGCCCGAGCATGGCCTCCGCCCGGGGGACATTGTGCTCATCTCGGAGCAGCCCGCGGGGAACGCGAAGAAGAAGGAAGTCAAAGAGCTCGAGAGTAAAGGGGCGAGAGGGGTGGTGACGAGGGTTCGGAGGGAGGTTGTTGGCGTTGCTGTTGATGAGGGGAAGGGGGAGGAGAGGGAGTTTACGGGGAGGGTTTGGATTGTCAAGGTTGCTGATGATGTCACGTACCGGAGGTGAGATTCTTCTGTTCTTGATTCATTTCCTTTTCAGTCGTCTGTCGGTCAAGGATCAAATGCTTGACAGAGATGGAGTCTGTCAGTGGCGTCACTTGGTGCCAGACTTCACGGAAGCAGGCTGGGCTCTCCAGGATTGATGACCTTGTAGTAGTATCAAACGCTACAACACCTAGTCGAGGAGCAGAAAAGGACTGACGGATGCCTACAGGATGAGCCAAACTATGGGCAAGATCGAAAAGATGACGGAATCGGAATACACGGCCTTCATGCGCGTCCTCTTCGGCCTCTCGAGCCCGTCACCGGTACCCCCGGACCTAGCATCCGACCCGGAGCTCGCAAAGATCCAATGGATCGACCCGTCTCTCAACGACTCCCAAAAGGACGCCATCCGGTTCGCCCTCGCATCCCGCGAAGTAGCCCTCATCCACGGCCCGCCAGGCGTGAGTCTTACTGAACCCCTTGAGCGACCCGATGAAAGAAACGCCATGACTGACGAGCAAGAAAAAAAAGACGGGCAAAACCCACACCCTAATCGAACTAATCCTCCAGCTCATCAAGCTCAACCTCCGCATCCTCGTCTGCGGCCCCTCCAACATCTCCGTCGACAACATCGTAGAGCGCCTCGCTCCGCACAAGATCCCCATCCTCCGCCTCGGCCACCCGGCCCGCCTCCTCCCCAGCGTCCTCGCCCACTCCCTCGACGTCCTCACCCAGACCTCCGAGGCCGGCGCCATCGTAAAGGACGTCCGCGCCGAAATGGACGCAAAACAGGCCTCTATCAAGAAGACGCGCAACGGCCGCGAGAAGCGCCAAATCTACGCCGACCTCAAGGAGCTCCGCAAAGAATTCCGCGAGCGCGAGCGCGGCTGCGTCGCGAACTTGATTCGCGAGAGCAAAGTTGTCTTGGCTACGCTGCACGGCGCGGGCGGACACCAGCTCCGGGACCAGCAGTTCGACGTCGTTATTATTGACGAGGCGAGCCAGGCGCTCGAGGCGCAGTGCTGGGTGCCTTTACTGTCTGCCAAGAAAGCCGTCTGCGCCGGCGATCATCTGCAGCTGCCGCCGACGATCAAGTCGCTCAATTTCAAGGTGAAGCCGCCGGCAGCAGCAAAGTCAGCGGTCCCCAAAGAAGACGCGGAGAAGAAGCAAATCAAGGGCATGACGCTGGAGACGACCCTGTTTGATAGGCTGCTCGCCCTGCACGGGTCATCCATCAAGCGCATGCTCACCACGCAGTATCGCATGCACGAGAACATCATGAGGTTCCCCTCGGACGAGCTCTACGAAGGGAAGCTCATCGCCGCGGAGGCGGTCAAGGAGCGCTTGCTCAGGGACCTGCCGTACGAGGTCGAGGACACGGAGGACACCAACGAGCCGGTCATCTTCATCGATACGCAAGGGGGCGACTACCCCGAGAGGAGCGAGGACGACGACAAGGACACCGTCAAGAAGGCAAAGTTCAGCTTGCACGGGGAGAGCAAGAGCAACGAGATGGAAGGGGCCTTGGTCCGGCAACACGTCCAGAAGCTGGTCGACGCGGGAGTGAAGCCAGAGGACATTGCCGTCGTGACCCCTTACAACGCTCAGGTAAGCCTGGTCAAACCCAACGAAGCCACCCCCCTTCGATTATGGATCTTTTGTTTGGAAATCTTGGGTCCGTCGCGGAGAGCCGCAAGGGCATGAAAGCTGACATCGGATGAACCGAACGCAGCTCGCCATTTTAGCGCCCCTGAAAGAACGGTTCCCGGGCATCGAGCTGGGCAGCGTGGACGGCTTCCAGGGCCGTGAAAAGGAGGCCGTCATTGTCAGCCTTGTACGGAGCAATTCCGTAGGAGAAGTAGGGTTCCTGGGCGAGAAGCGCCGATTGAACGGTAAGCTTCAAACGAGAGATGATCCCGCCGGCCGCGGCCAGGCTGGGAAGATCCCAGTATGCGGCCGACCGTTAGCGCATGAATGTTAATGCGTTCTTAGTGGCGATGACGAGACCCAAACGCTCGCTGACGGTGATCGGAGATTCAGAGACAGTCAAGAGGTGAGTCGGTTTGAGAAAATTGCTTTCTTTTTCCCCCTTCTTCCCCAAACCTCCCCCTTTCCTAGTTGGTTTTGGGACGTCCGGCGCAGAGCACCTCTGCAGTCTGCACAGATGGTGGGCAGGCTTGTCCTGAGACATTTGCTGAGCCGCGTCAAACGTCCAACATCTCGGGCCTGTTTCTTCTTTTTTCTTGCTAACTTGGGTTGTGCCATGATCAGAGGCAGCAACTTTCTCAAACGGTGGATGGATTTCCTCGAAGAGAACGCTGATCTACGTTACCCGGATTTATCGTCACTTCAAGGGTCCTGAAAGGTCTTTAAATTTGAGACGATTGGGGAGATCGTGGGCTGGCGGCGTTACCGAGGGACCATCTTCCATGCAAGGCCTGCCCCTCTCCAATGTCGAGCTTTATGCGACGAGAGGACTCGTGGCCAGAAAGAACAGACGATCTGGAATACCGACGAACCGGCTTTGTCGATGTGGTGGCCCGTCGTGGAGGGGTAGCTGGGATGAATCCTTATGCGATGGGATGTGCTGGTTTCCCAGCGATGCCAAAATAGGAAAAGGCTGCATTGTCTGACTTTTGGCGCGGCGTATCGTAGAATTTTGAATCGGCCGTTAACCATGCTCGCGGCCCACCAGGGGTTCATTGGGGGGGGAGGGTGCGTCCGTTGACGCAAGTTCCATGGGCGCGGGGGCATAGGCGACTTGGGTCGTGTCGTGCCGTGTCGTGTTCGCGGTCCTGGGCCAACGGACGAAAGAAGACGGGAGAGAAAGATTTTGGGTCCTTTGGAGTGGAGGGACGGGGGCACAGATGTCAGCCGTCACTGATCAGACGAAGAAAGTGGCATCCATGTATGTTTCAGGTTACTTTCCACGTCTGGCGACCTGTGCCATCCTTGTTCGCGTGGCCAGACCCGCCATATTCTCCTACCGAGGAGGAGGGGGATGCTTGACTTGGACGTTGCCCTCTCGGTCTCGACGAGATTGTGCGCTGGAATTCGCGGTGTCTTCGGGGTTATGTACGGAGTCTGCGGACTATTCGTACGGATAAAGTATTTGAAAGCAGACCTGAGACTGCGGCTGATATTGGGTTGCCCGCACCAAAACTCAACAAATCAGTCTCGATCCTTCTTGGCACAAGATATCACCTGTAATCTGACCAGGGCTCTCACTCCTGTGTTGGGTTGAAGCCATGTCCGTCGTAAAGACAAAACCAAAGTGAAAAAGCCTGTCACCCATCTTGGACTCTGTATATCTCGTTGCGTTGACTCTCGCTGCGTTGTGCACTCTGCCTTGGATCCGCGCAGCGAATACATCTTGTTGGTTATCGCATATGTTGTTATCAGATTGTACCATCCCGACTGCTCAGCCAATTTTGGGAAGCTTAGACATCCGGAGGTAGAGTGTGAGCTAGGACACTGCACAGCCCAGATCGCTCACAGTCGGTCGGCACATCAACTCGCTTCCAGAATAATGGTTCATCTCCATGTCTATGAGACATGGCCAATTCCGGGGCAAACCACCAATTGGATGTGTGTTCCGATGGCTGAGAGAGCGCTGGCGAGTAATGTGCTTTGCCAGCAGCTTCAGGCGTGCCATTTGTTATACTCGGCTCCTATAGATGCCGGCCGCTCGTGCTCTGGGCTGACGGGCGATCATAAGTCGGTTGTCTCGCTATATGATGCTCCGCCAAGGTCCACTGTGCAAGACGATCAAACCGTTGCTGGAGCGGGATAGCTTCTCAGGTGTTGAATCGAGGTTGGACTAGGGGGGCTACATTGACGTGATTGACTAGGCACGAGCACCCCGTGTGGGTGATTTGGCATGGCTTTGCTATCCGTACCGCCCACGTAACCGTAATATGCATTGCATGATGTTGGTTGTCTACGAGGGAGCCGCCGCCTTCCTGGATGAAGCTATATCGTGATCGCATATAGGCACCGGAAATAGCTGACTGGCCAAGAATTTTTCCGACACTTTGTTCTGTGCGACTCTGGCAAGGTGTTATAAACCAGAACCTCAAGGGCAATGGATTACGGCGTTCGCGGTGCCTTTGGCCGTCGCCGATAAAACCTCACGAGTCAGGGTGAGCAGGCCAAAGAAGCCAGCATACTGCGTTGCGGAGAAGCTGTCCACATTGATACGAGCCGTAGAACTGTCGTCGAGCTTCGCCCAGAATTGGAATGGTCTTGATCTAGGCAGACAATAGGGGACAGCGGGGGTCCTGCTGGATGGGCAAATGGCTTGCAAGCCATGTGGTGGTTTAGCCTCCTCTGAATCCTGCGGTGTGGGGCTGTCCCAAATGCAGTTGTATGGATACTGGCCTGTCTTTTGGACGCGAAGATGCTGCACGTCGTCGACGGGGGGGCTGGAAGACACGGCCGAGGAAGGGTTTCGCTCCTATAAGAAGGGGCTCAAAGTGAGTTGTGATAGAAACTTCTTGATTCTCACGCAGTATTGGAGTATTGATTCAGGTAGTTGTGCCGCAGCATCCAGAGGTTGCCGCTGGCGTGAACCAAGAATAGGTAATGCAGGTAGGTGGCAGGTGCATGCAGGAGGACGTGGCATGTGGTTGCAGCGATCCAAGTGAGGAAAACTCCGTCGTAATCTGCGGCTCGGTGGCACATTGAATTCGTCCGAGAGGCTAGCAATCACATCTCTGCAAGTGCAGCGTTGCTTCTGAGGAGCTGAAGCTGGCGCTACCACAAAAGATGAAGAGTCGTCAAGCAATCGGGATTCAACCAGCTAGAATCTAGTGTGAATGGCTGTCAGGTCTGACGGTGGCGGCGCCAGTGAGAGTGACAGAGGCATCCAACCGCAAATGAGATAGTGCAAACGGCCAGGCGGACGAGACAAGTTAGTGCCGTTGGTTCTTGGTGGCAGGACGCTCAGAATTCCAGCATTCCGTTTGCCAGGGCCTTCGCTCACTTCCTATTGGGGTAATGCAGGTGTTCGCTGATACCCTAGCGCGGCGTCATGATATTGGACGACTAGTTGGCGATAGAGGTCTTGGATGGCGCCGGGCGGGATCTGGCACGCCATGTCGGGTGAAGATGCTAGCTAGACTTGGTCGATTTCCGATGGTGTTGGTCGATGGCTGACAGACTAAGAGGTTAGACGCAGTGTGGATTGTTGGTCAATGGTAAGATTTACCAGCACCCTCGAGCAGCATGGCTTTGACCTCGTCTACGACTCGTCCGTCAACTTGAAGAACGACTAGGCTACATCATACAAGAGCGTGGGCTTGAGAGACGAGGCCTGTCGCTGGTCGATGCCTTCCCCCGTTCAGCACGGATAGAGTCGGGGTTTGGTAGCGACAAGGCCAAGAACCGGGTCGAGTGATGCGAATCTAGAGTCGTAGCGGGTGGCAGTATCCGTGTGTAGAGTAGTAGTATGTAGCCGTAGACGGCATCATCAATCACACACCGACTCTCGACGACTGTCTTTGGCTCTTGTTATCGGCCTGGCAGGCTTGTTGCAACCCGAGAACCAAACGAGGATGTAGGTAGGTACGCAGTACTGGTAGTCTCGTATCTGGCGATGCGAGGTGAGGTTGACACACACGGACCACAAGTCACAAAAGTGACCTCCAACCTGTGACCTCAACATGGATTCATAGAATGAGCCACGCCGGGACGGGCAGCGGGAGCGACTTCCCTTGTTGGGCCCCCATGTTGATGTGGAAAAAAAGAAAAGGAAGCAAAGACTGAAACAAGACGCCAAAAGCGGCAGCTCCTCGGAGGAGAAGTCGGACCAGCAATCCGGGTGAAATGGAGCCGGCAGGGCCGGGAATTGCCTTTCCACAGACTCCATGCTCTTTCCTCCCAGGCCGTTACTCTTCTTCTCGAATCCTTACGAAGTATTTACCCACGGAAAGTTCTTACTCAGTGCCGCCTGCAGATATCATGTCAGGACCACAGACGGCGGCAGTCACGCAGACAGGAGGAGCTTTCTAAAGTAGTCCCCACCAGAGGTACTTCTCAGGCATGGTATCCGTACCTGGTACCCTAGACATCTACAAAAACTTCGTACCATCTGTCGACTCCTCATCTCACAGCTGTCAGTGCAGGTGAGTCGCGCATGTGGGGGTGGTCACGGTCGTTTAACAAGCAGGTCGCGTGGATCACAATGACCTTTTAGGCATTCGGGAGGGTAAACTGTTTTGCGTTGAGGCTGAGACACTGCATATCCGTGGGAAAAAGTGTGGTCCTGGAACTGGAACTGCCACTGACGAGATGAGAGAATCCAACGATTGATGCCCAGGCCTCTTTTTCATAGCTTTGTATGGGCACTACGGAGTTCTTATTTTTGCCAATACATTGCTCACATACCATACCTTATTCAGTCGGTGTAACGAGCCCCAATATTGGCCATTTCCATGCCACTTTTCACGATGATTCGACTTCAACATGCCCGCCCCCCCGCTCACCACCCGTTCCCTTGATCGGCGCCTGGAACATTGTTTGTTGATGGCCAGAAGAGCCGACGTCGCTGGCTTGGTGCTTGCCTGGATGAACAGTATCACATACCGGTACAATGTGGTAAGACCTAGGTCATTGTCTACGACCCTCGTTCTCCTACATTCCACTCATCCCTCACGCCGCTCATACACGCCCACGACGCCCAAGACGCCCTCCTCCTGCGTATGGACGACACACGATATCTCAAACGTGATAATTGGTCAAAGTCAACGTCCACCCACGTTCCTCGTCCAATCCCGACTCATTCTCAACCACACAGACCTACCACAACAACAGACACCACACGCAACTCTTGCAGCTCACGTCTAGTCCCGGCTCTGTGTCCCCTGGCAAATGGCCTGCTCCGACATGCACAACAAAAAGGTGGCTTGCCTTGGATGGGCAAGGACACCGAGTTCAGTTGGTCGAGGTGTCACCGTCTGCGCCTCTAGCGCGACGACCACCACTTCCAGTCCTCCGAGACTCAAGTCCACGACCCCCAAATGTCCAATGGCTCATCCAATGGCTCCTCCAAGAGTCCAAAAACTCCAACATGCTCTTCCAGCCAAGGGGGGTCCCACGTCCTTTCTCCTTCCCCACTGCCCTGGGCGCCCCAAGCACTGGCCTCAAACAAGGGCCATCCCCCGAGCCAGGGAAGCCAAGAACGACATGGAGCAGGGGGCGGCGAGCGAACGGCGACGGCGAAGGCCACGAGGGGCGCCGGGGGCACCACCAGGGAGGGCACCCTGACGAAATGAAATGGAAACCGTCATGGAATGGGACGCATCGGCTTCCATTGCGGCTTCAAGCTTGCCTTTGACCTCGGACCTTTCCTGCTGCCCCGTCCCGTTACTCTGTTGAGCAATTTGCGTCTCTGTTCGCTCTCTCTTCTCTCGAATCGACCTTGACAAGTCTGAGGACAAGACATGATGTGCGAATTATGTACCATAACATGCCATGGCCATTCAGTCCAGATTTGGAAAACGCGTCTGCATGGACGGTGGCTATCCGTGCCGTAGACGCAGAAAACCAACGGCTGGCCTGTCCTTTTTCTCGAATCTTGCGGCTTGCGGCTTGCAACTTGCCCCATCACTGTATCCTAGACGCGGGCCAATACGCACCATTGACGGCGTTCCAATGGTCCGTATCCTCCTGGTCGTGCATGCATACTTGTTTCATCGCGCTAGCATCTGCGTCTGTTCTGCATCTGCCTCTCTGGTCTTTCGTAGTGTAGGTAGTGTATGGATACATGGTCCCCATCAGAGCTCCCCGCCCTTGTCTTTCCATCTCCTCGAGTCCCTCCCCTTCAGGAACCCTTGCTGGTTCGTTGTAAAGTCTGCTGTACCTCGCAAAGTACATTGTACACATCGTGCGCCAGAACAACCGATCCAGATACATGCCATTGCTTTCCCTTTTCTCCCGCCCTTTCTGTCCTTGTTTGTTTCTTTTTCCTCCTGCCCTCTGCCGTGTCGTACTTTTTGCCGTTGTAGACACGCGGAACGAGGAATAAAGAAGCATCTTCTGAACCAACCGCATCTCTTCGCTTCTTCCCCGACCAGTCTTACAACACATCTACTATTACCTATTACTTGCCTATCGGCTTATTATTCAAGTACGAATACCTGCCGTACCATATTCCTTGCTCCCTGATCTCCTTCAGGTACCACTACTTTGCTCTCACGTTCCCTACACCTCTACCACTATTCATCACGCATTCCTCTCTTGTCGTCTAATTCATATCGTTCAACAACCATTCTTCTTCCACGCCCTACCTCTCGGGCTAAGCGGCGCGCTATACGCTACCGCCCGTTCTAATCAACATTTGCTCCTCCGGCCCGCCTCGTCAGCCTGTCGCAGACCTGCCCGGGTGCTCCTTTGATACATGACGCATGCGCTGCTAGGGTCCCCCCTTCTTAGTTGCTTAACTACTACCCCAATCCTCGATCCCGTCGTGGGTTTCTCTCCTTTTATTCGCCTCAGTTCTCGTGCCTTGATTGTCCACTCGACATCCTCCTCTCCTCTTGTACGGATACTCAGCGTCACCGCGGCTGTAGAGGGCGCATTTCGCCACCTCTCCGCCTCTCCGATTCCGACAGGCCTAGACGACAAGCCGCATTGCTGTCTATATGCACCATGAATCAGGTTCCAGCATAGATCACCACCTGGCCTAGACATCTGGGGCGTCCGATCAAGAATCCCACCCAGCCTGGACTGGCGAACCGGGCATTGACATTGGCATTGGAACTAAACAAATCGTCACGGCACGGCACCGGACGCATCTCGTTGGCAATCCTCTTGGGTCTCACCAACATTATCTCTACCCTTCCTCGTCATCTCTCTTCGGACCTCACCACACTTCATGGCGTAACAGGGGTCGACTATCAAATACAACGCTCTTCTTCCTCCGGCCTCCTTCACACACTCGCTCTAGCCTAGAGTCACGCACGAAGTAATCACCTATTGTTGGAACTGCCATGGGCCTCTTCAAGTCGGCCAACCCACCCGCCGCTCCTGGCGCAGTCCCTCGATCTTTAACGGGCCAGTCCATTCGGGGCAAAATATCTGGCCCGATTCCTATCCCTAGCCCAGTCGACGACGAATTTCCAATGCGCAACCCTGGTACCGGGATTGCTACGCCTCTGACCGAGGGCGACATGAAGGAGCAAATGATGCATCCGCCGCAGGCCGAACAAAGGGCCGGGTCGATTGTCTCGGTCCCTCAGCCTCAGCCCGAAGTTTCACAGGCCCCGAGAGCAGACTCGGTGATTGCACCGACGGGTTCCGCCGGTTCTGGCTCCGGTTCAGCATCATCACCAACATCGGCGACACACGCGACACAGGCCAACACGCCCCAATCACAAAGAAGAACAAACGCATCCAGCAACTTGCGGTATTCCGCCGTGAGTGCGTCATCTGAACAGACGGGCGCAAGCAAGGATCGTCCACAGCGCAAAAAGTCAACATTGCGCGGCGCGTTGGGGAAGCTTTTTGGTCGCAAAAAGAAGACGAGCTCTCAGGGTTCGACCGATTCGCAGCGCGTATCGACGTACAACGCCTCGAACCAACACAAGAGCGTAAGTTTCGGCACCGGCTGCTCCCGTACCATGGCATTCTTTCTGGACTTGGAGACTGACGGGGGACGAACAGGACACTTCCGGGTTAAGCCGAGTCAAGGAAGCCGAACCAAAGCGATCGGCGTCCTTGCCGATCACCGAGTACGACAGAGCATTACGTTCTCACTCTATTGGGCCCCAAGACATCACCGCCATTGAGAGTGCGCGCAATTCAATCAACGTCGACCCATCTCTCTATCAAGGCCACAAGAGGGCGGCCACAGCTACCACAAGTCAGATCTACTCGGCTCCTTTCAGGAGTCGCGAGGGAGAGCTTGCCGGCCTCTCGCCTCGTCCTGCAAGCACTCACGTACGTGGGAGCCGCCTTTTCACAGATGACGATGACCCCGAAGAAATTGGGCGAGCCATCACTAGTGATGTTAGCCAAAAGCGCCGATCCAGGAGTCTCAGTGGAATGCAGAATCCAGAAGGACGATCCGAAGTTCGGCGCAGAAGCGACGAAATCCGATATTGGAGAGAGAGCTATGACCCAGCCTTCATCGCATCGCCGGCGTCATCCAATATTCCAGACCATGAAAACCAGTTCACGGGCATGGCCCCTACCATAAGCATGCCCGAATCCCCAATTGAGCAGGGACAGGTGCACACACCACCTCAACCATTCTCGTTTGGGAACTTGACGCACATGAATGTCATGGCTGGCATGAAGATCACGCAGGCAGCCAGCATCGAGACGCGCATAGAGACGCTGGAGGAGAGGATGCACCGTGTGGAGGACGTGGTGACGCATCTTTGCAACTCTGTTCCTGGATTCCAGATCCACATGAGCCAGCCGCAACGTCCTGCGCCTTCGGTACCGGGTTCGAATCCATCTTCTCAGACGACAAGCACCGCAGTCAATCCGGCACTGCAACAACTCTCGCGCCAGCAAGCCCCAGTCTCTCGGTACAGCAGCTCTGCACACTCAAAGGAGTCTCACACCTCCTTCGGCGAGACTCCCACGTATGTGGGCTCTCTTCAACTCCCTGCATCCATGAATAGGCCGACCTCGAATTCCACCATCCGTGGCGTGACGAGCTTACCGGCACTATCTCGTGTCGAGCCGAACAGGGCACAAGAGACCTTTACAGCGGATCACTACACGATGCTTCTCGCGCTGCTGGAGACGGAGAGAGCCTCTCGACAGGCCCTAGAGTCTCAGGTCAAGAAGTTGACGAGACGCCTGAATATGATCTCTGGGCCTAGCGGTCACGGCCGCATGTCTCTGGCAATGGAGCCTCCCCCGACGGCCAAGTCGTTTGGCAGCGTGTCTGCCTTTGACCAGGATTCATCCGATGAGGAGGAGGAAACCGCGTCCAGGAATCGGCAATTTTTGGCTGAAGATTCTGGCGTTGGGACCGGCCCCGGGGACGAGGACTCGTACTCGGAGGTTTTCGCGACGCCAAGGGAAGAGCAGCATCACGGCTACGGCGCGTTCGGGGAGGAGTTGCGCGACGAGGACGAAGACCCCCAGCGAAAGAAGGCAGCCAGGACATTGTCGCTGAGCCAAATGACGCTGGGCAAGAAGCCGTCGTCGACAGGAGTGCGGATTTGATGTTTGATTTGCGGCACTGTTTTGCATTGTTTTCCATTTCAGGTTTGTCATTATACCCCGGGAGATGTTCTCCCACTCACGAGGCGACGATGACGATTCTGTTCTCGGCAGCCGTTGAGTTGAAGGCGTCTCCTGTCTTTGCGATTCGGCACAGATACCTGCCCGCAGCTTTTGACGGGCTCAGCATTGTCATAGTAGCGAAACATTTTCCGTTTTAATTTCTTACTTTTTCTACCCGTACATATGACTGCCCATTTCCATTCTTGACGATCTGGTTGGAACAGTCTTTGTGGGATACATTCCATTGACGAGAATTTTTGTTTTCTTTTTGTTTTATTCAAGCGTGCGGATATCTTGGTGAGAGGAAGGAGGGAAAGGCCAGAGAGCCTTCTACCGGTGCAATCGTTTTTCAAGGACGATAATGCCCGCAAGAAATGGAAGAGGTAGTTGGTCAGGTAGCCACAACTTGGTTCTGCAGGTTGTGTGCGTGTATAACATGAAAATGTGTGCCCTCAGTTGGACACGGATTAGTTCCAATGATGACAAGACCCAAAGTGCTCCGCTGCTTTAGATGCAAGATGCACCAGGTGTGTGGTATACTCCGAGTGATGCACAACTCAGACAGACAGAGCAAGACAAACAAACAACGGGCCCGAATGACAAGGCCACCCAGTCGTAATCTCCGGATTGTCATCTCGGGGAAGAGAGGCCAGAATGTTTCGAGAAAATGTCCAGGGCCCTCATCCTTACCATCAGGCTAGGTGAGTGTAACGCGGATTCGGGAAGCCGGGCAGCGCGATTAGTGGCTCAGCTCGTCAACATGGTGTCAGCTCGCCCGCACTTGGTGATGGCGTTTGTCAGTGACAGCCTGATGAGTACCTAGCCATATCGCTCCGCTCCGCCCCACGCCCGACGAAAGCCGCACTTTGCAGGTAAAAAGCTTCCCACAGCTCGAAAAAAGCCGGGCCAGCTGGCCAGCCGGAATCGACGCTATGTGAATAATGTTCCAATTGGAATACCTCGGGCTTTCCAGAAAACTAGATGCTAGGCAATCTTAGTTCAATCCACTCATGAGTCGCTCCATCCATAGGTCCAGCCAACTCCGCAAAAGATTAAGATTGAATGATACGGATAGAGGATTTGTGGATAACGTAGGTAGCTTCTCCGCCAACTGGGTTGGGGAGTATGGGAGGACCCAAAGGAGTGAGGATTTGAGTGGGCACCTACGTAAGCACAACTCTACCTGGACGGAGGCCGTTATCAGTGGGCTAAGCTCTTTGCACAAAAATGCGAACCACGAATACGGATACAAGGAATTGGGGGGGGCATTTTTCTTCTGCGAACAAACAAACGCACATACCACCCAACCTCTCTCTCTCTCCTCCGCCCGCGGTTTCTTGCCCCTCTTGATTACTTCAACTACACACACGTAACTCCGTTCATCCAACCCCTCGTTGTTCGTGTTGCGCGATTGATAGCTATCGATTGCAATTGAACGTACCGGCTTTCTGACCTCTATCGAAAAGGTCAGCGGATATCTTTGGCGAGCCGAGCCTTTTGCGCTTTATAGAGGGAATTCTTTCGTCGCGACAGCAAGCTCGCGCGCATTGGACCTCTCTCTCTTCGCAACCCACAAAGCCGAAATAAACAAGAAAGCCGCCCAACATGTCCGGCTGGGTCGATTGGTCAAAGACCACGCAGTCCCGCAACTACCGCGGCTCAACCTCCTTTGCGACGTTCATGATCATCGGGCGTACGTCTCCCCTCCTTTCCCCCTTCCCCCGTCAGCAACACGCGCATTGAGAGCATAGACATCACAAAAGAAAACGAGAAACTAACACCTCACCCAAACAGCAACCTGCTTCTTCCTAGGCATCCTCTTCGCCTCCTTCCCCTACGACTTCCCCCTCCTCTGGACCTCGGCCCCCGTCCCAGAAACCTTCTTCACCCACCTCGAAACCCACCTCAAGTTCATGCACCAATCGCCCCCCCTAATCGGCCGCCTCCTCAACATCATCGTCTTCACCGGCTTCCTCGGCTTCTTCATCAAGCTCTTCCGCCCCTCGGAAGCGAACGTCCTCTTCGACGGCGCCTCCCTCGTCCTCTACCTCATCGGCGTCGGCGTCTACATTACAAACATCGTCAAGGGCCTCCGCTCCGTCAGCGCGGGCATCTGGGACGATCCCAACTTCACCGGAGAGGTCAAGGACGGCCCCGTCACGGGGGAGATTATCCTGGGCAAGGAGGATAGTTTGAAGGTGCTGGCGGCGAGTAACACCATTTTGGCGCTCGTGTTGGTCGGTGTGCTGGTGCTGCAGGCTGGGCAGTGGTATGCTGAGCGCAAGGACCGCGAGGACTTTGCGAAGCTGGAGAAGGAGGAGAAGGGGGCCAAGGGATCTGCGAGTAAGAAGAAGCAGTGAATACTGGGCGGGTGAGGTCTCTTCTGAGTGTTTGCGCAGGCGGGGTGTTCCGCAGAGATGGGCAGTGTTGAGGGGCCGCGGCATATCGTGATATTGGCATGCCCTCTTCGACTTTAAATGCGTTGATGGTATTTGAGGTGACATTTGTCGACCGCATCGGTTCAAAATATGGATCACTGTATGAGGCGCACCATCAGTGGACAGGCACATCGTGCCTCATTCAAAATATATCATGTATCAACGCCATTCTTTTTGAATTTTGATATTCGGGCTCTATTTAAACCCTGACCTCTCGATAAGGTAACAACGACAAGCAAAGAAATCCTGCCCCCTCAACTAGCAGTCCTACCGCATCTCTACTACAGATAAATGCGTCTACCTTTTTTTACTCCTTATCCCACTGACATACGGGCCCTTACTCGAGCTTGAGCTGCTCAAACTGCTTAATCGTGTCCTCGAAACTCCTGGCCTCAGACTCGAGGTCGACGAGCTTCTGCTTGTCCAGCTTCTGGACGGCCTCGGCGACCTTCTCCTTGTAGATGGGGTCGTTGAGAACCTTGTGCTGCTTGTCAATGTTGGCGCGCGCCTTGTCGAGCCTCTTCTTGGCCTTCTCAACCTCGGCGTCGAGGTCGACGCGGCCCTTGACGTGCAGGTACACAGAGGCGGATGAGGCAACGGGAAATGCGACGCATCCGGCGGGACGGGCGGCATCGGAGGCGATGATGTCGATCCCCGTGACGCCCTTGCCGCTGAGGGTCTTGATGGAGGCAACCTGGTCGTTGATGGTCTGGTGAGAGGTGGCATCGTGAGACTGGATGATGACTGATGATCGTGTGAGTGGGTGGGATCTACATCGCAACATCGGCAGCGGCGACTTACTCTTGCTCTCCTCCTTCTGAGCGTACTCGCTCATGAGGGATCTCGCACCACGCGAGCATCCCAGGACAAGCTCGTACGCGGCCTCAGACTTGGGGTCGTCGAACTTGGCGTCGTAGACGGGGTAGCTGGCAAGCATGATAGATCTGGTCTTGTCTTCAGGGCGTCGAGGCAGACGCTGCCACAACTCCTCCGTGAGGAAGGGCGTGAAGGGGTGGATCATGGTCAGCGCACCCTCCAACGCGGTGTACAGAGTCTGGACGGCGCTGGCGGCCTCCTCAGGGGTGCCATCCCTGATGATGGACTTGCTGTTTTCAATGTAGACATCACAGAGGAAGTTGAGAATGTACTGGTACACGATACCAGTAGCCTGCTGGAAATCTCTTGCCGCCAGAGCGGTGTTGATCTCCTTCGCGGAGTTATTGAGCTTGTGAAGGATCCACTTCTCGGCGAGAGTGACACCAACGGTAGCCTCCTTGGCGGGAACAAAGTCCGCGGGCAGGTTACCCAGGACATACTTTGACGCCTGCCAAATCTTGTTGCAGAACTTTCTCCAACCGGTCATAACCTTGACGTCAAAGTTGACATCACCGCTCGTCGATGTGAGCGCAGCCATGGTGAAGCGAAGACTGTCAGCACCGTTGCGAGGCAGACCATCAGGGAAAGCCTGCTTCTGGTACTTCTCAGCCTTGGCAACTTCACTGGGGTGGAGGTTACCAGTGCGAAGCTTGGCATGGAGGTCCTCGAGCTTGATACCAGCGATGGCGTCCAGGGGGTCAATGACGTTACCCAGAGACTTGCTCATTTTGCGGCCCTCAGAGTCACGGACGAGGCTGTGGCAGTACACCTCAGTGAAAGGAACCTGGCCAGTAAGCTTGATACCAAGCATGACCATTCTGGCGATCCAGAAGAAGAGAATATCCCAACCAGTCTCGAGGACAGAGGTAGGGTACAGCTCCTGCAGGTCTTGGGTCTTGTTGGGCCAGCCCAGGGTTGAGAAGGGCCACAGACCAGAAGAAAACCAGGTGTCGAGCACGTCCTCATCTTGCTCAAGAGTGAAGTTCTTGCCGGGAAGGGCAGCCTTGGCCTTGGCCTCGGCCTCCTCGCGAGTCTTGCCAGCGAACCACCTCTTGTTGTCCAGCGAGTCGGACTTCTCGCCCTCAACCTTGGCCAGGTAAACAGGGCAACGGTGACCCCACCAAAGCTGACGGGAGATACACCAGTCGTTGATGTTGGCCATCCAGGCGTAGAAGCTGCGCTCGGAGGACTCGGGCTTGATCTTAATTCTGCCGTCCTTGACAGCGGCAACGGCATCGTCGGCCATGCTGCGCATGCTCATGTACCACTGGGGCTTCAGCAGAGGCTCAATGACGTCCTTGGAGCGCTCGCAAAGGGGAATAGTCATGGCGTTGTCCTTCTTGTCGACGTAGAGACCGAGCTGCTTGAGCTCCTCCTGGATGGCATAACGCACGCTAAAGAGGTTAGTTTGCATGACGGTATGCGAGATCTTCACAGTCACTTACTCGAATCTCTTCTGACCCTGGTACTTGCCACCATTCTCGTTGATGTTTCCATCATCGGTAAGAATGTTGATGAACTCGAGGCCATGCTTCTGGCCCAGGTTGAAATCGTTGGGGTCGTGGGCCGGGGTAAGCTTGACGGCACCGGTACCGAACTCCTTGTCGACATAGGTATCCGCAACGATGGGCATCAGACGACCCGGGATGATGGGGTGGATGGCCTTCTTTCCAACCAGGTGCGTGTATCTGGGATCATCCGGGTGAACAGCGATACCTGAATCACCCAGCATGGTCTCAATACGGGTGGTGGCAACCTCAAGATACTCATCGGTACCCTCAATCTGGTACTTGAAATGAATCAAGACACCAAACTCAATCTTCTTCTCGTAGCCCGGGACCTCCAGCAATGTCCTTCCAGTCAGCTCCTTGTTGATAACCTCGAGGTTGGAAAGGGCGGTGGTGAGCCTGGAAGACCAGTTGACCAGTCTGTTGGCGCGGTAGATGGTACCCTCCTCGAAAAGTCTGACAAAGGTCTCGGCAACGGCGGCGGACAGGTTCGCGTCCATGGTGAAGGCCTCACGGCTCCAGTCGAAACTTCCTCCCATCTTTCGGAGAGCAGCGTTGATCTTGTCGTGGTATTCGCCCTTCCAGGCCCAGACCTTGTCGACAAAGTCCTCACGGCCGAGGTCGTGACGGGTCTTTCCTTCTCTTCTCCAGAGCATGTTCTCGACAACGCTCTGTGTCGAGATACCGGCGTGATCGCAACCGGGGATCCAGAGCGTCGTCTTGCCCAACATGCGGTTCCATCGAATCATGATATCTTGAAGGGAGTCGCCAAGAGCGTGGCCCAGATGCAGGGCACCGGTAACATTGGGAGGGGGGTGTGCGACGACGAACTTGCCCGCGGGCTTAACCTTGCCCTCGGCAGTGAATTCGGGCTCTGTTGAGGTTGAATTAGCTCACGCAAGACCTCCCACGAGAAAGGGGTGCGCCCGATATCACTTACTGAAGAAGCCTTCCTTCTCCCACCAGTCATACCAGGCACTCTCGACAGCTTCAGGGTGATACGCCTTGAAGTGGGGGTCCTCGAGGGGCTTGAGGCGCTTCTTCTCTCCCTTGGGGGTATCTTCAACGTATTCAGGGATAGCCTCTTCCTCCTTCTTCTCGGCCTTGGCCTTCTTCTCCTTGTTCTTGGATGCAGCGGGGGCTGCGGCGGCTTTCGCGGCCTTCTCGGCCAACTTCGCCTTGAATTTGGCGTCCTTTTCGGCCTTCTTGCGCTCCTTCTCCAATTCCTTCTCGGTCTTCACCTTGGGAGGTGCGCCAGCGGTCGCACCAGCATCCTGGCCGGCGGCATGGGTGGCGGACGTCGAGGCAACCTGAGCCTTGGTTTCGTTTGAGACGGCAGGAGGAACCTCCTCCTTGAGGCCCTCAGTAGCGCCGACTGGAAAGGAGACACATGGGTCAGCTCAATGTCTGAAAGCATCACAATGGCAATTGGGCCGGGAGGCATCGTGAGAATGTGGGGGGTGGGCTGGGGGAGGAGGGGCTTGCGCACTGGGGTTTCCGCGTCCGCTGTCGGTGGCCATGGTGGCACGTGTCTGTAGGAAAGGTCGAAGACGGGGAGGACGTGGACGTAGACTGAGTGATGGAGGGCGCACGCGGAGTGCTCGAAGAAATATTGAGTTGGACGTGGTGGATATGTTTGCGAAGAAGCCCGGGGAGGTGGGCTTCGACTGATGGTACAAATACAAAAAAATCTCCAAAGGTCTCCGAGGAGGGGCAAGCAACTATGACTCGGCGGTCTGATTGCAGCACTTCGCGGATTTGAGTCACAGGATTGGGTGTTCGAGGAGGAGGGCCTTGGAGGGGTCATGCAGCTAAAATTCGGGTGCGAGCCACACGCGCAGGGAACCTGAGGTGCTCAGGTCCGATTTACCAGCCACAAGCAAGGGGGTTTATCGATGACTTGCCTTATCGATAACAAGTATCCGTTCCTTAGGTAGGGTCGATAAGGTAAGGTAGGTACCAAAGTTCCATTGGGATGAGTCGCACGCCGCTTCTGCCCCTGGCGCATTTTCCTGCCGACGCATTGAACCTGGGAAGCTCAAGCTCCAGCCACACCAATCAAGGTCGTTGGATAATTCATCATACACTCATTCACTTCCTACCTTCCAAAGCTGGAGCAGTTGCGGGAACCTGACTCACACAAGACCTCAATTCGTTTCAATGGGTTTGTAAGAAAGGAAGGAATCTCATCAGCATATGCGTCTGTGATTATCAATCCAGTCGCGGACGAAGAACGAGCATCCCGAGAGCTCGGCCCAGTTTGGAGGTAGTGATCGTGACGCGATGTATATCCAGAGAGCCATCCCCCGGTTCGCTCAGTGTGCCAGACATCCATTGGCTAGACGAGGATACAAAACTGCATGCTTTTCTGTCCACGGGAATGAAGAGAGCTGGCAGGTGAGCCTGCCGGGAAAAAAAAGAGATCTTCCTTGCATCGAGATCTCATATCTCATTAATACTGACCGCGTGAATAGGGTACCCTCGTTCAGAGAGTGACCAAGACTGTCAGGTCTTTACAGAAAGCAGGCCTCGAGAAAGATGACGGCGCGGTTGTAGTACTTGCTTCCCGGCCATATGCGTCATGGCTGCTAGATGAAAAGTTCATGGCCGCATTGCTGCGACCCTTTGGGGATTCGAAATCATCCGGCGATGTGGGTCGCGAATTCAACGCTCTTACCGGTGTAGTCGATGGGCTTCACCCCCTTCGCGCATTCGGTGACATCCCACACGGATTCTCATTCTACTACGGGCCAAAGGATATGATCATGCCAAGGCTGTGGCAGAGCAATAACCCCAACGTGCAGTCTGCTCCTCGTAGCAACGACAAGCTGAACGCTGCCATTACGTTTTCCTACGGGTCGAAGCCTGGCAGCTACGTATGCACACTTCCCTTGGCGAACACGATCTTTCAGAATGGCCTCCAGTCGACTCTCATCGCTAGCCGCTGGAAAGCCAACCTCGAGGGGGGTTTGGACCTGGTCGAGCGCGAAGAGCGACGGGCTCAGGAAGTCAACATCTACACCAGAGAGAGCGATCACACCAACTCGATTCAGGCACCCCTGGTCCCCATCACGGCTCCGCGAAAGATCGTATCGGGCCTGGGCAACATCATCAGGCAGGTCGACGTAGATGGTAAAGAGACGCCTGCTTCTGCGGAGCTCGAGACGGCTGTACAAGCGCTCTTTGATAGGCGGACGGCAGAGGGCCATGAGTTCCCTCCGGGCCCCGTAGGTGTATGGGGGGTTGTTTGTCCCCCTGGCGATGACCAAGCGGGAACCATTGAATTCTTGAACCGGTTGTCCGAGACAGCGTCAAAGGTACGGAACGCTGGAGACGAGTGGTCCATGGTCCTGAATACGATGAAATATATGAAATGGCTCATCAATAGGGGTGCCAGGGTCTACAAGATTCGTAAGTTGAACACGCAGCCTAACAATGAGTAAGCTCGTTTAACCAGAGAATGAAGAGAGCGGCGGCGGCGGCTGGGGGAAGAAGGCAGGCCTCCTTTCGCTCGACCCCGAAGTCAAGTATTCCGCTTCCTCCGAGGAAGAGGATCTCGACAGCTTCATCCGTTCCTTTGAGAACCGGAACGAGGGCGGCGGCGACGCCGAACAAGGTGTCATCGCCCCGGGCTCGTACATTCAATACTTTGTCGCTCCGCCCTTCACTGCTGCCAAAGCGGATACGGCAACGGAGGGTGAATCTCAGTTTACCGACTCCTTTGGAGTGACGGACGACGCGCGGTTGGAGGCATCGCTGGTTCCCGCTTCGCGAGACTGGAAACAAATTCGGCACCAGTTTGGTGCGGTGACAACCCACGGGATCTTCCTTGAATGCAGGTCTCTGCGTCCTCTCGTCCGGGAGACGAAGCTGGACGTGCCCGGAGCGTGGATCGGACATTTGGGACGCCCTGACCAAAAACGTTCCCAGTTCAGAAGGCTTAGCCTGCACACGGAGAAAGGCTTGGGAGGCTCAAACTAAGGTGTAAAATATTTATGAATGTAAGACTAGGTTGGAAACTACTGTAATTGTCTCTATAGGAAATGAGCTCTGTCATATATCTCTCTCATCGTCGCTGCAAAGCTTGGGCCGGTCATCCGGTCTTGTGGTGTAGGTAATTGAGAGGGTTTTGACGAAAAAGAACTGACGCAATTCTGTAACTTGCAGCTCAGATCGCCGCAGGTGGATATGCACTCTTTCTCTCTCATACATCTCATTCTCTCTCATCAACGAGAGGTAATTCAAACATTTAGACAGATAATTTAAACGACATAATCCTCAATATCCTGCTTTCTCAATCATGGCCGCAACCAACGGGACGCCCTCAAAGATTGGAGTCATCTCCATCGGCGACATGGGCGTCGGCATCGCCAAGCTCCTCATCGCCAAAGGCTTCCAAGTCGCAACGAACTGCAAAGGCCGCAGGTAAATTCAAACACTCTCCAGCTGTATGAAATGAACAATCGATATCAACGTGGAACTAACACTGCTACAGCGAGGACACCCTCCAACGCGCCCGCGACGCAAAAGTAGAGCTCCTAGACACAGACGAAGCCCTAGCATCCCAGTGCGCCGTAATCCTCTCCGTCGTGCCCCCGCGCGACGCAGAAGCCACCGCGGAGCGCATCATCGACGCCCTCGCCGGCACTTCATCGTCGCGCGAGACACCCCTCTACTTCATCGACATGAACGCCGTCGCCCCGTCAACCTGCAAATCCATCGCCGCCTCCTTCGCCCGCGCCCGCGCCCCCGCACGCTTCGTCGACGCCTGCATCATCGGCGCCCCGCCCAGGCCCAAATCCGCCCCCAACGCCGGCACAAACGTCTCTGCCTCGGCCCCACCGCCCGGTACCGGCGGCGGCGACGACGACAACGACCCGGATGCGTGGTACGTCCCGGGCATGCCCATGTCCGGCCCCGACAAGCTCTCCGACCTCTCCCTCCCCGGCTCCGGTTCCCCAGACGACGCAAACGCATCCTTCGGCACCCGCCTCAGCGCAACCCTAGGCGGCAACCACATCTCCGACTCCGTCGGCGCCGCCTCGGGCCTGAAAATGTGCTTCGCCTCCCTCTCAAAGGGCTTCACCGCCATCGCCACCCAGGCCTTCACCTCGGCCCACAGGATGGGCGTGCTCCCCCACCTGCGCGACGAGCTCGCCGCCCGCCTCCCCTCGCACCTGCAGTCCGCGGAGAAGGGCGTCGTGACGATGCCGCCCAAGGCGTACCGCTGGGTCCGCGAGATGGAGGAGATTGCCAAGACGCACGCCGAGGAGGGCGGGTTCGGGCCCGAGTTGTTCGTCGGCGCGGCGGGCGTGTATAAGTCCGTGGCGGAGGATTCGCCGCTGGGAGGGGAGAAGATTGGCAAGAGGAAGAGGGGCACGACGGTGGAGGACGTTGCTGCTGCTTTGGCGGAGGGGTTTGAGAGGAAGAAGAAGAAGACTGACTGAAGACTGATTCACTTATTCCATAAGTACAACTTGGACGCTGTGTAGATTTCAGGAAAAGGGTCAAAAGTAGATTGGAAGACTTGAACATTGTCTCAGTTACATTCCAACGCTGCACTAGGTTTTTTGAAGTTCTCCAAAGATCGCTCTCGACGCCATTCGTACCATGAACCATATGCTGCCTGCCCGAACCTCCTAGCGCCTCTTATCCCCAGTACTATTACACCATGATCCATTATGCGCCGGCCAGGATACTCGTACACGATATAACATCATCGCACATTCGTCACAAAATTCGTTGTCCTTATACCAAAGCAGATATCATAACACTGACAGTGTCAGGTCACCAGAGAGCTTCGCCTTGATGTGCACCTCGACGTCCAGGTTTAGCCTGAGGTCAACAATAAAGCCTCGCTCGCCTTCGTGTAAAATTTCTCGCGGGTTCTTCTCGCGCTGCGGTCGCGGCGTAGAGAAGTCGGGACCGCCAGGAGGGAGCTCGCCCCCGTCCTCGGGCATCTCAGTTATCGGAGCTCTCAGGGAGAGATTCATATCCGACGGTCGCCGACGACAGGCCGGAGGCCGCCGGATCGGCGGGAACGCTGATGATGATGATGACGATGAGCTACTCGTGGTGTCCGTGTCAGATGCCAGCGCAGACGCGCTGTTCTCGCCGAGGCGCGGCACTCTTCTAGGTGCGGCCCGCCGGTTTGAATGGCCTGACCGGAGTGGTACCGGGTCAACTAATTGCTCATCTTCCGAAGGCATCGCTGTCGATGGTGCTGGCGCAGGCCGAGAGGCAGCTGGGCGTCTTCTGGCAGGCCTCGACGCCGACTGTCCCGAGCCTGACTGATTAGGCTTTGGATCGGCAGCACCCTCCTCGGCGTCGTCGGTCACCCTGCCGCGGTCAGAGCCGTCCGACGCCGGTCTCCTGTTTAAGTCTGATCCCTGTGGCCGCGACGGTCTCCTTCGCTGCTTGGGTGGTTGAGATTTGGGCCGGGGCCGTGATTGTTGCTGGGAGTTATTTGGTGTAAGTGCGGTGTTATTGTTGTGTGAAGCTGGCGACGGGCCCTCCGTGTGCTGGGCTGATTCCATCCCGTGTAAGTGATGAAAAGTCTACCCAGTAGATCCGGTCGATAGATGACGACGGAGTTCAAGCTGATCAAGAGTTGGTTGAATTAACTCTGGATATGCTGAACAGGACGATGGTGTTTGCGTATGTTCCGCAGATCCCAAAAGTTAAGATGTTAGAGCTTCGAGGGTTGAAACAAACCCTCGTGTCGCGCTCTGCAGGTGGTTTGTCTCTTTATGTGTCGATCGTTGTACTCACGATTCAGTCGTACAGCGGAGGGCGCAAGACGGGCCTTCGTGCTCGGGAAAGGTGATATAAGTCTGTACTATCACTAGCAGCCGTCATATTGTTGCGCTTGCCCTATCGTCGGTCCGTTTAGGGTCGCCAGGTTGATGGTAGCAATCGGTGTCTCCGTTTGAATAAAGTGTGGTCGTGTCCGTGTTCACGGTTCACCGTCGACTCTCCATTCCGGCTGCAACGATTTCCAAGGTTTGAGGTGACGGTGGGAAGAGTGAGGCAAGGTTGACGCCGGGAGAGAGCTGGAGTGTTGTGGTGGGAGACTTGGGGGAGACGGGAAGGTGAGAGGCGCAGACTGGGGCCGGGGAGTTGGCTAGTGGGCAGTCAGTGCCAGAGCTTCTTCCTGCGACGTGCAAACGCGGGCGCGGGCGAGGTGCATGCACCCTGACGTTGCAGGCCGGGACGTGCACTTGGCGGGGGACCTGGGGCGACATGGGCGATTTTTCTTGGTTTTTGGAGGACCGTTGCCAAGTTGTATGTCACACTCTCACATGCATGGAGGGTCCCCGACGATCGCAAACTTGATTTTTTTTAGGGGGCGGCGCCGCGGCGGCTCACTCGTGGACCTCCCCAGATAGGCATGTCCCTTGTTTCGACGACTGTGATTTACGGGCACTGCAGTCTACAGACACCTAGTCAAGCCAGTCTCACCCACACCGAGACATGCCCTGTTCTTTGCCGCATAGGTGATGGTGAGCCTGGTTGGACAACCAGGCTCTGGCACCCTGAGGTACCCAGGAACAGCCGCTATCATCGATAACTCGTCCTTGTTGAGTTGCTTCAGTCTCCAGGGGGCCCAAAGCGGCGAAAACGGGGATCTGCAAACCTACCGAGTAACATCGGTAGGAATATTTCAGGAAATCTTCGGCGGACCACTCGGGCAAGTGGACACAGGAGCCACGGAGGCAATGCCGAAGAAAAGGGTCCAAGACTCCAAAATCCTTGATTGGTGCCCTGGTTCACTCGAGTCCCTGATTTTGGACCATGCGCGGACTGTAATCCGGATTCAGATCAGGTTCTTCAACAAGCTGCTGGTGTTATTGTTGACTTCTATAGTTAAGGGTCCACGATGCTATTGGTGAAGGCGCACAATGGGGGGTTTTCTGACAACTGGCTTTCCACGGTTCTCAACCAGGCTTCTCCTCTCTCGTAACTTGGTCTGGCGACTAGCCCGAGACATTCCGTGTAGCATAAACCAAGGTCAGACTGAGCTGGACCAGGGTTTTACTCGATCATATCAATATCGTCGTTCGCGGCGGGTACCGCGGCAGCGGCAGCGCCACCGTTCGGCTGAGGCGCAGACTCTCCGGAGTTGCCTCCGCCAAAGTAGTCAGCCATCTCGGCATCCAGTTCCTCCTGTGTCTTCCGAGTACGGCCGTCTCTACCCGAGCGGCCGCCTCTTCCACCTTCTTGGTCCCTGCCGCCATCTCTACCACCGTCTCTGCCACCATCTCTACCGCCCTCTCTGCGAGCTCCAGGTCTGCGTCCACCACCGCCGGCACCGTTTCCGCGCCGGCGGGGCATAGGGCTTCGCGAACGGTTTCCACGGCTTCCGGGGACGTATCTGTCAATGCCTCTCTCAGCAGCCTCGTCGACATCGTATCTTCGTCCAGGAGACATGGATCTCGAGCGACCGCCGGGAGCAGAGATTCGCTCTGCAAGTGGACGGCCCGGCATCACCGCCGAGTCAAAGGGGTTGCGAGATCGACCGCCAGCTCCACCGCCAATGATTGACAGTTTGATGGGTTGGCCTGAGGTATTGGGTTAGTCTTTGGAATGCCACTGACAAAGGGACTCGAAAGAAAGGCACTTACCGTTAGCATTAGCACCATCAAACTGCTTGATCGCGTCCAAAGCATCCTCGCGGGACTCCATCGTAACGAAGGCAACGCCCTCGGAGCGACCAGCGCGATCATACTTGAGATCCAACTTCGCGACAGGGCCGATTCTGTTAAACAATTCCTGCACAAACTTTAGCCGGGGCCACCGTATTCGACACCTTTAGGGGGGCGTACCTCCAAGTCGTCAGGAGTCAACTCGTAGTGGATGTTCTCGACGCGGATTTTCGAGCTGCTCGAATCTCTGTGACATCTGGTCAGCGTATGTTCGTATGAATTACTGCACGGGACTTGCCTCTGCTCAGGCTCATCGCGTCTCCGTCGAGGGGCCGGCGCACGGCGGTTGTCTGCTCCGCTTTAGCTCATGTTGTAGGTGTGGTCTAGGATATTCGGTCGTACCGTGCTCTTCGAATCGATCGTGAACCCATTCACTATTCACAGGATTAGCTTACTGCCACTTTGGGTGGTCAGTCTGCCTGGACTTACCTATCGAGGTTTCTAGGCTCGTCACGGAAGGACTGTATCGCAGGACGGCGACACCTGTTAGCTGTGCCATTGCAATCGACAGGTACCGCTCCCGGCCTTCAACAAGACGGTCGGCATGGAACCGAAAGCTGCGCGATAGTCGTGGTCGACCGGGATGAGGAGGGAGGAGGGTCATTCAACCTGGACAATCAGCCTGGAGATCTACCAGGTGACGGGTTGTGTATGCGGCATCATACCTTTCTAACGCCGTCGCGAGGATATTCCTGGCGTTCGCGTTCGCGTCTTCGGGGGGCACCTCTACCGTTTCCACGGTTGTTGCGAGGGCCGTCGCTCTTCTGCAATTATTTTGGTCAGATCCGAGGTCGCATATCGTACAAGGCTGCGGGTTTCCTTACCTTCTCGCCAAGGATCTCGTCAAGGCTGCGGTCCAGCTTGTCCGCCATGATGATTTGTTGGGTGGAAAATATGTCCAGAAAAAGAATTGATGCAACCCAAGATGTCGAATTGGGTGGTCAAAAAATCACCTCGGTACCGTGGGATGTGAACTTTGCTGCAGGATGTAAAAGGGACAACAAAGCTGATCGCGACTCAAGTGACCGAGTGCGGTAGACACAGCTGGTAAAGGTAGGCACGGCTGACCGCGGATTGAATGGAGCATCCGACCGCCAAAGAAGTGTGGCGCACGCCGCGGGATGCACAAAGTGGGCACGTGGCTGAAGCCCCTCGACTCTGCTGGAACTTTGCTTAATTAGGTTAGAACCAATTGGCTTCGAGATGCAGAACAGGAAATCTGGAAATAGCTCCCCATGTTTTGACGCCGGGTGGGCTCCCCACTACAGGTCTCAGGGGTCCGAGTAATCCATTCCATTTGACCCATCTCAGACTCCCAGTGGCTTCCAATCCGCCCACCGTTATCCACTCAAGTCAGTGGAGTGAACCCGCAAGTCTAAGCACCAAATAGCGCTGCTGGTCGCAAGCTTTACAGGCGCTGTCTCGCTTGTCTCGCCTGTATCATCCGTGCCGTCAGCGCCCTGCATCCCCTGATGTGAGGCAGGAGGATCTCTCGGCCCGGAATTTGTCCTCGAGGGAGATGAAGCTAAGCCCCTTTTGTCGTCTGAAGTGTAACTTTACTGTAGAGCTGTCCTCCCGATGCGCCTCCCTTGAATTGACCAGCCCGCCAGAAGTAGGAATCTCGTACCTGGCCAATTTCTTCACTCCCTCGGCGAGAGACACACGGGAAGGAGCGCTCAGTGTCATCTTTCATATCTATTGCATGGCACCCCCAATTTCCTGCGACAAAGGAGAGAAAACTGTACCTGTTCTTCTTACGACCCAATACCCGCGATAACTAAAGCTCGCTTGCAGCTTCGCGAAAGCCAAGCCAAGCCGGAAAACCATCGAACAACTACCTCTGATCCCTCGACAACCTTTATGATTTTCGCATAGTCTCCCTACTCGTCAGATTGCCTGCCATGGCCCGTCCCATGGGGTCAGTTCGCTTGAAGAAGGCGAACCCGGTGACCCTCGTCCTCGGCGCCGTCCTCTGCATCTTTATCGTCGTCTTCCTCGTCGGACCTTCCAAGTCAACAAAGGCAGAGCCGGCCGGTACCGCCTCCCACCATCTATCACCTCCTACCGCCCCCTACCGAAAGAAGGCCAAGGGCGACACGAGACCGCCGCCCGTCGTCCGCTACAACCTCAACAATGTCACCATCACGACCGACCCCATCGGCAACCGCGAATCCGTCCTCATCCTGACGCCGATGGCGCGGTTCTACCAGGAATACTGGGATAACCTCTTGAACCTCAACTACCCCCACGACCTCATCTCCCTCGGCTTCATCCTGCCCAAGACCAAGGAAGGAAACGCGGCGACGGCGGAGCTGCAAGAGCAAATCACAAAGACCCAGGGCTCAGAGAAGAACCGCTTCAAGAGCATCGTTATCATGCGCCAGGACTTTGAGCCGGCCATCGCATCCCAGGACGAGGGCGAGCGGCACAAGATGGAGAATCAAAAGGCCAGGCGCGCCGTCATGTCAAAGGCCCGCAACTCGCTGCTCTTTACGACCCTGGGCCCCCAGACGTCGTGGGTGCTCTGGCTCGACGCCGACATTGTCGAGACCCCGCCGACCCTGATCCAGGACCTGGCGGCGCACGACAAGCCCGTCATCGTCCCCAATTGCTTCCAGCGCTACATGAACACGGAGACCAAGAAGATGGAGGAGCGGCCCTACGACTTCAACAGCTGGCAGGACAGTGAGATTGCCCAAAAGATGGCCGAGACAATGGGCCCCGACGACATCCTGCTCGAGGGATACAAGGATATGCCGACATACCGCGCGCTGATGGCGTACTTGGGCACCGATGAGAAGGATAAGTCGGTGGAGATCCCCTTGGACGGCGTCGGCGGCACTGCTTTGCTCGTCAAGGCAGACGTCCACCGCGACGGAGCCATGTTCCCGCCCTTCTCCTTCTATCACCTCATTGAGACTGAAGGTTTCGCCAAGATGGCGAAGCGTTTAGGCTGGCAACCATTTGGACTCCCGAATTACAGAGTAAGTAGATCCAGTCAAGATGTCATTGATCAACAAAACCGCTCACACTACTTCAGGTTTATCACTACAACGAGTAGGGGCTAGGCATCACGATGGATGTGATCTGGGAATCAAAATGACCAAGAAAGAGGAGTACATCACGCCTTTCTTCTAGAGGTGTTCAATGGAAAACAGAAAGTTGAAACATCCCCCACCCACCTCTAAGTCGCCAACAGCATCGGCGGCGGTATCACGAATTTTACGCGCGGAACAGACCTCATTGGAAAGAAACCCCATATGCTCCTTTAGCCCTATGTGCAGCTCACCCCCTTTCTTTCACATCTTGCCAAAACATAATTGCGTTCCACTTTCTTCGGACGGGAAATGGCGGCGGGGGGTTTGGGCAACGGGCGTTCTTTGTAGTACATTTCACACAGCAAACTACATAAACAAATCTGGGAGTCTGGTGGAACATCGGGGGATTAGCTGGTTGAAGCGAGGTGGGAGAAGGCTTGACTGCTGACAAGTGGCTTCTTGAGGGTGTAAGATAAAAAAAACAACGAAGCGCCGCGAGGAATCGAGAGAGGGGTGCGGTGACGGATTGCGTGTTGCGCAGGATATCTGCGGCATTAGAGAGAGCACCTATTTCATGTTTTCAAGGGCTCTAGTGTGATAGAACAAATGACATGTTATCTCAGAGTAAGCTTCTCGTTGCAATTATACAATCTGTCATTGAGTGATGATGATAACCATCTGGATACTCCCTACCAAACAAGCCTTCCGTCCCTTCCCGTCCCATCCCGTTCCATGTACACGTTATATATATGATGTTGTCAAGTTATCTTATCCAAAAACATAAACCGGTGCTGAAATCCAACCCAAATTCTTCTCCCTTCAGAAGACTGGAATACATTAGTCTACCCGCCAGCTAGGCAGGGCTAGTTTCTCCCAAGTCAAACCCTGTATGAGCCGTCACCCAGCAAAGCAACCTCCCCTCCCCTCCCCTTCCCCATCCTAACGCTGCCCTGCCTCTACGGCCCATCATACCGCCCCTCGTCATCGCGGCACCAAAACTCGACGAGCGCGCGCGTGCCCAGCACGTCCCCGCCGCGCAGCAGCGCCGCGACGTCGACGTTGAGCGGCGAGTCCGTCTCCGGGTAGGCGAGCAGCGTGCGCACGGCGCGCACGCTCTCGAGGACGCTGTAGGCCGGCGTCCAGGCGTCCTTGAGCAGGTCGAGGCAGATCTCGCCCGTCTGCAGCGCAATGTTGGCGTGCACCACGGGCGTCGCGAAGCGTATCGTCGGCGGGCGGATGGGGTAGTCTGTCGGGATCTGGATGTGTAGGAGCCAGCGGCCCTCTGTTTTCCAATGTGTCAGCTATATTCCCGAAGTTCTGAAGAGGGGGGCGATTGTAAAAGGGGAGAAAAGGGAAGAAAAAACATACCATCATACCCGTTCCCGATCCCCCGCCCGTTAACAACAGCCTCCCACGTCAACAAATCCTCGTCGTCGACGGGGCCCAACCTCTCAATGCCCCTCTCCTCCTTCTTCTCCGACCGCCACACGTCGAGCTCCTTGATGAGCCTCTTGATCGCGCCGCGCCCGTCCGACGTGGACTTTGACTTTGACTTCTTGCTGCCACGGTCTCGTTCTCCTCCGCCTCCTAGCGCCGCGCCTGAGGGATTCGTCTGGGAATCGGGCAGGTTCTGAATGCGCCACGACATCTTCGACAAGTTGGGGTCTCTGTCTCCTGCTTGCAATCCGGGCTGCTCGCGCGATGGACGGACGGACGGATGGAGGGGAGAGGACCCGTGGTGCGACTGATAGACCCCCTGGAGCTTATGAGTCGCAAGTAAGAGGGGGGAAGACGGTCAATTGATATGTAATCGCGTATGAGTTGATGTGCTCTACGACGGTGGTCGAGTAGGATCTCGGAGCAAGCTGGCTATACGGATAGCTGTTGATGATCTTTTTGGATGGGGGGAAAGCTTTGGGGCAATCCCCAAGTCAATGGGCTGGGTTTACCTTAGTTACCTTACCTTAGCAGTAGCCGAGCCACGCTCCCCAGCTTCCCCAGGGTGCCAATGAGACGTACCTTGTGACGCGATAGGATAGGTGGGTCCCATGGGTTCAGCCGAGGTTTCCCACGCCGGCTCTCGACTCCGGGTTCAGTCCGGCATCTGGCCAACATCATCCGCATCGTCGGTACGCCGTTTGCGTTCCATTTTGTTCCTTCTCGTGCCATTGTGGCCAGTGTCACTGAAGTCTTCACAATGCAAATGCATAAACTAGGTATCATTGGCAAGTGGTCAAGTGGAAAGATTCAGAGTGACTCTCAGAAATATGTTCATTAATATTTGTCTACGTCGCGATTTGTGCCATCTTCCATCGTCTAGAGGGCTGAAACAGCCGGCCGGCCAAAGAACTATGAGAGACACTGCAAAAGTGCCTCGACTTGTCTGCCTCGCCAAGTTTTCGCCTTCCTAAATTCGCATTTCATCCCCGATATGTCCAGAGAACGGAAACAAAACCATTGAACCACATGTTTCCGGCCCCCACAGTTGTCACCAAGACATATGGCCGCGAACCTGCTATGCTCATGCAACTTGCTGCTCATGCTATCATCACAAAGAACGCCGAATCCGTGTCCCAAAAAAAGCCGAGTCGTCGAGGTTTCCATCTCTGCGCGTTGCGTGAAGCTTTGGTGACGACCCGGTGATGCTTTTCTTTCGCTAGCCAGGCTGCGTCGGCAATGTAGTTGCAGACGCGAATCCCGTCCTAGCGAAGAAAGACATCATTCCGCCAGAAGGATCTGGTCGGAGAGAAAGTGTAAAGAGTTGTACAATAATTCCATATACATGCTTCATGAAGTCACATTTGTTGTATGCGGTGAAAGCTGACTATATCGTGGCCAGTCGCCCTGACTCGTTGGCGTGCGTCTCCTATTGAAGTCTAGGATGCGGCCTCCTCTTTGCTGGGCTTCCAGAATCGCATCATTCGGCTGAGTCGTTTCGATTTGCTGGACTTGTGCTTCTTATCACCCTCGCCATCGTATGAGACCTCCATTGATAGCTTGCTTCGCTCCCCATGAGAACTGCTGATAAGTCTACTCAAACTGGCAAGGCTGGATCGCCGCCGCCCGAATGCTGCTGAAGAAACTGAAACCGGCCGTTGTTGATCGGGTCGTATGGGCTCCTGTCTCAATTGAGAGCTGGTGGCAAAAGAGCTGTCCCTTGTCATGGTCGAGTGACTGGAGGTCAATGACGGTATATCTACGGAAAGCCTGACTTCTGGGCCCGGCTCCCCGAGAAGTAGAGATTGGAAGTTGTTCTCCTCATTGACTGAAGATGGTGCCGTAGAAATCCGCTGAGCGTCATATGACATGGGCGAACGGGGTGATGGGAAGGATGAGGCGTGGCTCATTGAATAGGGGCTGACGGGAACGTGCGAAGCAGTCGGCAGGTGGAGGGGACTGACGTCCACAGGGGCCAAGTCCTTGCTGGCGAGAATTCTGCGCGGAGACGGAGTTGCGGAACCAGTAGACTCTGCTTTTTCGTTGAAGATGGAACCGGTACGGAACTCGGGGATCTGGGCAAACGGCTCTTCAACAATGACGTCCTCTTGCAGGGGAATGGGCGCTGTCTCCGCGCTCATCTTGGCTTCTACTTTCGGTGCGTCCGTACTAATGACCTGATCACGGCTGATGCTGCCGTCAGGGCCGCTGGTGGAAATATCGTCGAGAATGGGCTGCTGGACTTTGTTGGTAGCGGGCGGTGTCGCCTCGTCGCCGGAGGATTCCGTGCTGTCGTTGAAATCACCTCTCTTAGCACGACTGCTAGTGTACAGTGAAGCGCATTTGCCAGGGTGCTCGTCATCTTCTTCATCCTCCTCGAACACGTCGGCCATTGTCGAGCTGCTGCCAAAACGATGTATGCCAAAGCGGCCCACATCGAATGGTACCATCTCAGGGGCGCTTTCAGCGCGACGGTGGTAGTGCATTCCTGGTCCGCTGAAGCCCTTCATACCCTGTGCGCTGTGTAGCTGGCGCTTGGTGGAGGCTGCGGCTTTTTGGGCAGCGTCCCATTCAGGGTTATTCGCAAGAGGCGTGTTGAAAGGACCCAGCGCAGCATCCAGATCAATCATGGGGAAAGATGTATCGTCTTGGGCCGAGGCAGGGCGCGGCTTCCATTCTTGTAAGCTCTGAGGTTGGCTGGAGGTGTCCGTCACCATGAGTGTAGGTGTGACCGGTTCGACGTTCACTTCCGGTTCCACCAAGAGTGTGAGGGGTTCATCCTTCTGCTCGATTGTCTCGAACTGGCGGGCAGAATCGCCCGTGAGATCCAGGTCTTTGCACTTCTTGTTCCGCGGTTTACTCTTTCGTGCTAGAATTGATCCTGCCCAGTTCTTGACCTTCTTCTTCTTCTTGGACTTCTTGCCGTCTGCTCTCTGACCGGCGTGGTCCGAAAATTCTGAGAAGCCAACCGATTCCGAGTTGGGCTCTGAAGTTGATGAGGAAGATGAGCTGGTTGGCTTGGATCCAGAATCTGAAGAACTCGAGCTCACGGGTCTCGTGCGGAGTGGTGACGCAGTTGCGTTGAAAGGATCCAATCCAAAGAATGACCACCTCTTGGGAGTCTTGGTTGGACTAGGCATCGGGGGGCCGACAGAGCCTGCTTCAGGCACGTTGATTAGGGTAGGGATAGAGTTTCTCCTCCTTGGCGATGCCCCGACTGATTGGATGCTCTGGGATCGTTCCAAAACCGCCCCGGCAGTGCTAGGCCTGGACTCGTTGTTCTGGCGAGAAGGTGTGAGTACCAGAGGAATAATAGGCTCGGTCTCCACATGTGTACTTGTCGTCGGGATGGAAATGATGGACGAAATGCTTCCAGATACCGAATGCCCTCCGGGTCGAGCTGTAACTGTGCTAGAAGTATCGCTTGACACCATTGATAGCGGGCGTGGGATGAACTCGAGGGTATCAGAGAACCCAACACGAGCACGCGTGACTGGCCTGGCTGCGGGAGAAGCCCTGCCACTTGATGAACCTGAATCTGCAGTGACTGGCCTGGTAAGTTCCCTGGGCACTCTAAGGGCTGGCTCGGATTCAACGCCCTTCAGAGTCTTCTCGACCAAACCCGCATTGTGATGGTCTAAACGTCGATCGAATTCAGCCGGGCTTGCAGGAGCACTGTTGCCCCTGAGGTCACCGGACGCTGAAGGCTGAACAATGAGGGATAAGTCATGGCTCGAGAGCGCAGCAGAGCGTCTGTGTTTGTGGCCACGACCGCCGGGAGGCTTCGGGGGCAATTGGAAGTTTGGAGACGCAAAACCACTTTCGGATCTCGTTGGGCTTGTACCAGTTACGGTGATGGAGTCTCCAGAACGAATGCTTCCTCCTACAAACTCGCTCCCTCCTCTCCTATGTCCAACTCCAGTTGGTCTTGCAGGTGATGCCGCTAGTCTCGGGGACACAGGCGGAGGGGATAGAGGCGGGCTAAGCAAGAGGGATGTCTCTGGGGACAACGAAGCGCCGGGATTGAAGGTAAAGTTGGGAAGGGCGGGCGATCTTGACGGCCGATCGGCTGCTTCTGAGTTCATGTTGAAGGTCGATCGGTCTTGGATTTCGATGGCGGACAGCGGACGTCGCCCAGTTGCTCTCGAGAAGGACGACGGTGCAGAAGCCGAAGAGGGCCTTGCCGGGAAGACGAATGGTGGGTTTGGTAGTGGAGGCATTGTTCGTGGAGAGTGTGGTCCGGAGAATTGTGATGTTGAGGAAGTAGAATTATCCAGCATTACTGGAAGAGAAATCGCTTGCATCGAGGGCTCGTCCAAAACCTGTGTACTTGTGGCTATCATCATACTCTCAGGTCCGACAGTGGTTGCCATGCTTTACTGAGCCGCTCTGCGGCTACAGGCTTGATCAGCAACTAAAAGAGGGACATAAAGAGGGCGCAAATGCAAAATGGTCGTCGTTGGTTGAGAATGGAGGATCGTTTAGGTGCTCGACAGAGGACGACGCGTCAGGGGGCGTTTTGCGAGGTGATGGCGGGTTTGGTAATTAAGTCTGCAAGGTGGCAGATTTGGCGAGTTGGTTCTTCTTTTCGTTTTGGATATCGCGAAAGAGAATTGGAAGAATCGATGGGCAAATAAACACCTTTCGGAACAAGTCGAATGCGGCGCGCTGACGATGGGAATTGGGCGAAATTGGCGTTCACGATTGCGTACGTGACAGAAGCGGTCGACCAGGTAAGACAAATGCTATTTATCGAAGATGAAAATTGAAGGTGTTGTTAAGGAGCGGACGGCACAAGACCAGAAGCAAATCTGCAAGATCTACAACTAGAATTGAACCACGAAACAGAAGTCAAGAAACGACGACGGCCTCGAAGGGTTTTGGGGGGAAGAGAGTTGATGGGAAGAAGAGGGGGTTGCGACGCGGAAGACTAAAGAGAGGATGGGATGGATGGGTGGATTTAGGATTAGAATTGGGGACAGACACACACGCACACACACACAACAGCGAAGAAGCGACGAGTCGGGTCCAGCGGTCGGGGTGTGTTGGCGATGGGAGAAAAGGGGGGTGAGAAGACAGGGATGAGGAGGGTGTGTGGGAGGAAAACCTCAGTTGGGTTTGGACTGGCTCGGGGAGAGGGGGGGCCAGTCTGCAGTGGAGGAAGGAAGTCCAGGGGAAAAAGAGGGAGAAGTAGCAGCAGGAACGACTACGACCAGGGGGCGTGCGATTGTGATTCCAACCTGGAAGTCACAGTCAGGGCCCGGACAAGCAAGGCAGGGACGACCAGGGGCTGTTCAGGTTGATGGGGCAGCAGCCGTAGCGCACTCGCATTCATCACTCAGAGTGCCTCAAGGACAAAGTACGAATGTCCGCACCGGATCTACTATGCAAAGCAAGGTATCTCTCCTATGTACGCATACGGAACGGGGCAGACAGACAGCAAAGAGGCACCTCGCGTCGCAGGATTTGACAGAGCACACCTCACTCAGCTTTGAACCAGGCGAGAGAGACATGAACCAGTGATTGGAAGGTAGGTTGGACTCTTGGTAAACAGAGCATATTATGTATAGGCAAGCACTGCGAGGTAAGTGTTACCTGTTGTTCATGAAAGACATGAATCCAGAGAGTCGCGTCGAAGCAAAGATGTGTATGTGAGGCGGTTAGAGCTGAACAAGAATTGTCGAGTACTCTTTATTCACTGTTTGGGACAGTTGTTGAAACTCGTATGCGCCCACATTCGGTTTCCTGCCTACCTACTTAGTTGAGGTACAACGCCCCGTACGTATGCCTTTACACACAGAAGAAGACCATGCATGCTCTACAGTTCCAAACGTATCAGTAGTTCATCAGGAGTACCTAGCTGGAAGATTCATATCCCCATCAATGAAGCCCCTGATTCCCTACTCACTTCGACGCTTCCAGATGACATTGACAGCCTCCGTATTCAGGACCTGTCTTGGTTGTGTCTGTAACCAACCTAACGTGCAGCAGTATCGCTGTGCTGCCCTGCATTCTGCATGAAGTACTGCATTCACGCACACACTTTGCCGCAACTAGACGGGCCCTGACAGGTTGGTGTTTTGCCTTGCAGCCATTTCTGCACTGAGTTGGGTGCGCCGACCAGCCTGCCTCTAGCAAACCGCCCACCTCACTCAAAGCCGCTCACTTCCTGAGCAACCTGACCGGGCGGCCCAGGTCCAGGTCGTCGAGGAGGGCACGGATTGGATTCTCTAGCGTATCAAGGTACCTGCTTCCAGCAGTTGTGCGAAGTATGGTGAGTAGCCGTACTAGTACCGAGTAATCGTCGCTGAGGTGAGTTGACGGTGAGAAGTTGGCTGCCACACCTTTTCCTCCCCTCCTCCATGCTAGCAAGCTCTAACACCCGTACCAGTTCGCACTAAGACTCGGCCGTCGTTAGGCGGCCACAGCCCAGGCCCATCTTCTCCTGCTTCTTGACCCTAGCGGCGGGCCAGTAGGTTGTTGGCTTGTTTGGCTTGGTTGACTTGACGAGGTTGCCAGGCAGAAGCTGGCGCGAGAGGACTAGACAGAGCGTAGCAGAGTCTAGAGGACCCGCGAAGCTGCACCTCAGCCGTCAATGGCAACGCAACGTCTTCACCGCTTCGTGTGGCCTCAAACACACGTTCGCTATTGCTTTCCTTTGTCTCTCATGCGCGTATTTGGTACCTATTTCGTGACCCTTCTACAGGTCAGGTAAGCTCATGGTTTGGGCAAAGGGAATCTGACTTTTATCGAAATGGTTTGACGATAGTTCTGAGACTGGAACAGTGGATCTGGGCCTGCAATGAGTCGGCTTGCTGCAAGTCAAAAGAGAACCTAGGAAGAGAAGTGGACTGAAGGCAGGGAACAGAGGCGCTGAGAGTTCAGTGCGCTCTGTGTCGTGCATTGTGTAAGGGACGGAGACCACGGTACCCTTGGGCTTTTGTGTTCAGGTACTTGATCGCGGTGCAATAGGTAGGTAGTGAATTTTCTGTTGGCCACCACCACTGAGGCTGACCTTGATTTCCTGCCCTGGTATTACCAAGTATTCGTACCTTTTTCTATCTCATCTTACCTTACCTAAGCCCACCCCAAGCACTCAAGCACACCGCAAGCACGGCAGGTAAGACCTTCCATGCGGGGAGGTAGCGATACGTATCTTTTTACACAGGCGGAAGGAACTCTCCAGGACCGCTTGCCCGGCGCATCCCGCAAGTGGCCCACGAAATGCACGGTCAGAGCAAGACTCTGAGCAGGAAACTTCCCATTTCGCAAAGAGAGAAACACCAGATGTTGGCTTTCTTCGAAGGACAACTTACCAGCAAAGACTGAAGCCAAGTAGGGCTCGGCGAGCGATTAAGTTCAGCCGTCAGCTACGTTAGTATACCTTAGCAGCAGCGCACATCATCAGCTCAACCACAACCACGGCACCTCCGGGTATGGGGGGATGACAAGAGAAGGTGCCGATGGGAGCAAATCCAGACCGGTGCTATGATGGACGACCGGATGACCAGCACATGGCAGATGCAAACGAGACGAATCATCGCAACGCCGTGCCCGACTAACAGCACCAGAGTAGCGATGGCAGACAACCGTCTCTGCAGGTACAGCAATGGCGTTGGCTCCATTCGACCACGCCCCCTCCATCTCCATCGCTGCCATCCGCCCCTTGCGGCAATTCTGCGAGAAAGCCACCACAGGACACAGCTAAAGCCTCGAGAGAAGAGACGGGATGATGAGGCACCAGAAAGTTAGGCCAAGTCACTTCAAGTCATGTCATATCATGGTTTGCTCAACACCTACCACTTCTCAAGGTTCATACACCCAGCTGCCGCCCAAGCACCACCTCATCGGGGATTACACTTTCGCTTCGTCTTCTAACCTAGATTCAGTCCCGTATACTGAACACCTTCTTTGCTTCTTTTCCTCGACCCGAGCGACCCGGCCTGGTTTCAACCCCAATCAAAGACACCGGCGGCCGTTCCTATGTACGAATATTGCGCGGGGGGCTTCAACTCGATTCGAATCGACAGCCACGCCGCATCTCGAAAATGGGCCGACGCCTCGGGTTCTACCTCGTCCACGGCCAACGCCAGAGCCAAAGCGGTCAAGCGATGTGTGTGGGCTCACTGCAGCGTCCCAAAATGGCTTTCTTCGATGGTAACATGGGCGCTGAGGCGGCACTGGAGCCGAATTTCTCCTCCACGTCCAGGTTCAACGGCGGCCTCTGACTGGCTTACGGTCCTGAGAACGAGAGATGGCCAGGGGTGTAAAACATATGTGCCAAGGTCCCTTCGTCACTCTCTATCCACTCTTTATTGCTGGGCTTCAGAAACGCCCGCGCACCCCCAGGCCCAGAGGAGACGATGGCTCCCCCTCCAAGCCTCAAAGACCCCTCCCATCTCCATTTTATTTCAATCGGCCAGATGACCGATAGCACCTGGGAGATCGGCTTGCTTTTTTTCTTAGTCTGGAAAGGGAAATCTCTGGATCCACTGGAACCACAGCTACGAGTGTCTACGAATACCTCACTATTGTGAATAGAGTACGGAGTACAAATCCACGCGAAATGGAGAGGCGTTCCGAGGGAGACAAATGCCATTGTCAATAATTGCCTCTTCAGTTGTTCACTTTCTGCATATTGGGATGATGTGCGGACATTCGACTGAATGTCGTCCGTCTTTTCAGCAATTGGCGCACAGCATCTGTCAAATCGTCGTACCAGGACAGTAATGGCGACATGATGCCAGAGGAAACATTTCATGTCCTATCGTTGGCAACCACCACACGCTTTCCGGATTGGATGGGATGAGATGGGATCATTACCTTATTTCTCCCATGTTCCCGTATTTGACGCCCCCGTTTCCTCAACCCCCTTGGCCGCCTAGGTAGTGGGGGAGCATGTCACAGTCGGAGCTGATGGAGCATCAAAGGCAACACAACCATACAACCCCACACAGGGCTATGTCTTCTTCTGTCACTGGCAGGCATGGCAGGCCAGTTCGTATGCACGGAGCGCTCGTTTACGTTCACAACGGCAGCAATCGATTTCAGGGCTTTGTGCGGGTAGTGCGCGTCGAGCCATCATTGCACAGCTTCGGCGGCGCCTTGAACGTTTGAGGAAGCCACAAACTATGATAAACCGCCCGAGGGATGGTCTGTTTGAGGCTTGCAATTGCTCACAGTGGAACAAAGAGAGTATCACGCGGCATAACTCTAAAGTCTGTTTTCATTTTCGTTGCTACGGTTGGGAGCCTCATCTTGACTCAGTCGCAAACCCGGGCGTCGGAGCCGGACCAGGAGCTCTCTTGATCGAACGATTGCGGCCGCTGAATTTCTTCCAAGCCCGGTCCTACCTAGCTCTGATCAACGTCCGCCAGCCCGTTGAAAAATTAATAGGTTCTTCGTGCGACGGCGCCGTCACGGTTCAACCCATGGCATCAAAGTATGACAAAGAGGCGAAGCTATCCCCAAACGACTAGCTTTGCTTAGTGGCCTGGCCACCAACTCTTTACCGTTCAAACGTTTCCGAGTCGCCCATCGCGACGAGCATCAACAAACAGGCGGCTTCTACCCGTTGCTGGCCTACCAAGGCCCGATGCTTTTCCCAAGCCGCCCTCATGCGGCTGCTGCTCACTCACCCTGAGAGTTGCAGATACACCTGCAGAAGCAACAGATGATAACCTTCGCGCCTCTTGCATCGCTCCAACCAATCTGGCCTGTCAATCGCCATGTTGCATTCGAACCCACTACGCGAATTCAAGTTGCATAGTGCACAGACGGACCTGCATGACGCCACGTACCAATCGAACACAGAATGAGGCGCTTCGGTTTGATAACGACGAGAGGGATTTTGACAATGATTCTTCGTTCAATGCTAAGGTAAACACAACGCGGTGAGGGATAACGCATCAGTTGCATCTCTGCTGTGTATCCGTACGGCTATCTATTGCCACCATGTTGAAACCCTGGGTCGATGACATGCCGAGACTGACGGTCGTATTCAATCCTGCCACGGGCAGAATCCTGCATGAGCTAATCAGGAACAGTTCCTCCTTTCAAACACTCATCTCCCAGCAGGGAACAAAAATCATCCTCGTGATGGTGCTTTGCCTCCTTGGCTGACAGCCATCTCCACCCCGACTGGGATGTTCAGTCCCCATCAATTCCC